CAGCGCAGCTCTCCCCCTTATTTCGTCCGCGCGTTCGACATCTGGAGCGAGAGGGCCGGCGGCTTCGCGAGAAGCCGGCTGCTGCTTGAGTCCGCTCGAGGAGCGAAACTACCTTCATTTAGGCAAACGCTCGCGTGGTTATGTAATGTAATTTAAAACCTCCCCGCGCGCGATTACGTAAGGTTGTTTAAAAAGCGCTCGCGCTTGTGTTACATAATCGCGTCGCGTTTAACGAACGCTAACGAAACGATCGTTCGAGAGGATTAACGAGAAAGCGTGACTCTCTCGTACCCTCCGCGAGAAACCGCGCGCACTTCGACACCTCGTTGCCACTTACCTTGTTTTTCGGCGGCATCGCGCTACGGAGCGGGCGACCAGCGGTGCCCGCTCAGCCGACGGCGAGACGGCACCCTCGCGAGCGACGAACGACGAGCGACCGGGGACGAGACTAGAAGAAGAGTCGCGGGCGAGACGTGAGGACGCGCCGGTCCCGAGCGAGCGCGGCGAGGAACAAGAAGGTGGAACAAGGGGGAGGGAGGGGAGGTGGGCACCTTCCCTGTGACCCTGTGACCCGGAGCGGAGCGTCGGCGACTCCCAGGCGTGTCGGCCGCGAAACGCGAGCGATCCGCGGCGAAATGAGCGGCTGCTCGAGCATCGGTCGATTTAATCGCATATCGCGGACGAGGAGACGTGCGTGCACGACACGTATCCGTCCGTTTCCCCACTCTGGCGAACCCGCATCTCGCCGCGCGCGTTTTGCTCTCTACGTGCGTGACACACGTACCCCCCTGGCTCGCGTCCTCCCCCTCGTTTTCTGCCGCCCTATCGTCCTGCCGCCTCTTCCCGCTGCACCCACAATCTCAGTCGTCCGTCCGTCGCCTACTCCCCGTCCTGTCGCTTCGTCTCGCCGACAACCGCCGCGGTATTACTCACAGGCCGAGTGAGCGAGCTGACGAGCGAGTGAAACGAACAAAGCCGTCGCAGCCGAGTACAAAGTTCCGCGCTCCGCGCGATATACAATTTTCTCGAGTGCGCGGGCCCCGCGCGTGAACGCGGCTACGATATCGACGATTTGTAAACGACGATTCTCTTGCTCCTCCTCCCCCCCCGCCTTTCCCCCCTCTCTTTCTCCCCTGCAGCGCGACAAAGGCTGCGATCGCATCGCGCCGATACCAACGATTATCTGATAGCGACGCGTGAACAGCCGCGTAATAGTCGCGCTCCGCGAGATATGGAAGCTTTAACATGGTCTCGACGATACGAGATATGTGTAACACACCGCGGGGAGAACTTGCTTTATCGTATTCCTCGCCGGGTAACGCGAAGCTCGATCACGTGGATGTTTAACACAGAGAACGGAGCGGCTCATTACGAAAGAGATAGAACGTCCATGATGACGTTTTTTTCGATGACGTTCTCCTCGATAAGAAATTTATGCGCTGGCCGGTCGCCGGAGAATAATGCGGCGGAAGAGCGATTGGGAGAATACGACAATCATCGACGCGATAATTTCGAAGGAACGATGGAAATTTCAGCCGGCGATAAAAGAAACGGCGAGATAATCGTGAGCTTTGCTTTGTGACCTTTAGCAGCGGCGTCGCGCGATCTACTTGAAGGTTCGATAGTACTTTCGCGATTATCATTATCCAGCGTAACACCATCATTTCTTTTTAATCCATGACAGTGGCTGCCTTCGTGCCAACTTCGATAGCGTTATCTTAATGATACTGCCCGCAGCTTTCGCGAGCGTCACAGATGATCTCACCCGACGTCGTCGGCGCTTCCGCGAGAGGATGCATTTCTGCATGAGATATTACATTAATTTCGCGCGTCGCGTCGGTCGAATCCGCATGTTTATTCATCTACAACGTCTTCATCGTGGTTCTTCACTCGCACCTCCGAACGAGAGAGAGAGAGAGAGAGAGAGAGAGAGAGAGAGAGAAGAAGAAGAGAAGATCGAGAAGCTGTCCAGAGGATATTGCTTTTCGAAATGGTTTGAGCACCTTTTTTGCTTGCGATCCACGGCGCAGTCGATGATCCAGTGAGAGAACTCGTTTCGGAGAAATTCCCACAAGTTCGGTTCTCCCATCGCGAGCATTCGCCGCGTTCCAATCTGCATTCAAAAGAAATGTTCAAACCACCATTGAAAGCCGGGGTACATCGAGCCGACTCGACGCGCATTCTCAAGAGTCCCCTTTTCACTCTTCTCACAGTCAGACGCGACGCTTCAGAGACGTACGCTTGCAGAACGGCGGTAAACAGCTACGCGCTAAAAAGGGGTAACACCGAAGGGTTAAAGACCGCGGGCGCGGGGATGCCCTTCGCCAAGCCGGAGTGCGTTCGGTCGGGCCGGTTTATAGCGCGAGAGAAACGAGGAGAGACGGAAAAGCACACAATGGAGTGTGACGGTACTTACGACGTTGTTCGCCACGATCGCCGTCTTCGCGTGGATCTGCAGGCCGTCGTCGTCGCCGATCTGCTCGCCGATCTGTTCGCGGCTGCTGGCCGGTCCCATCTCTCAGCGGCGCAAACGTCCGTCCGGCTTCCGCTTCGAAAATGAGGCGCCTCGACCACCTCTCGACCGAACCCTTGACGGTCGACGCAGCAACCCGGGTCGCGGCGCGGTTCTCACGACGCCCCCATCGGCGCCAGCTCGATCGAGATCGAGATCGCGGAAGTCACGGTAGCTGCTCGTGGGCAGCTTCCTCGGCTAGCACGTCTACGTCCATCTGCTCCTCGCAAGAGAGAAAGAGAGAGAGAGAGAGAGAGAGAGAGAGAGAGAGAGAGGGAGAGAGAGGGAGAGAGAGAGAGAGAGAGAGAGATTTTGCGATTTCCGACTTCCTCGTGTGCAGCGGTGTCGTCCTTTAATGTGCGCTCCGCACGGTCACTCGTTCCCGTGTAATCGTGAGGACGTTACTTGACGTTGGCGTGTTACTTGGCCACTCGGCCGATTGGATCCCGAGGCATTGGATACCCCAGGCGAAGAATCAGATCCCGGGGTGTCTGCCCCATGACTGGCGGATTTCACGCGGTTGACGGCGGTTGACGGCGAGTTTCGAGTGAAAAGTGGAGGCGGTAGTCAATCGATTTCGGTGGACCGTGTGGAGTTCTTCCTTCGTGCGTGTGTTCACCCCTCTCGGGGTGAGAATCGTCTCCTGGTTATCGTCGTCGCACTTGGAAGGCTTAACGAATTTAACGTTCCTACGTGCAGGCGACCTTTGACTTCAGTTACCTCGCTCAGCTGCTTGCCGACACATCGCGTTCTCACCACCGCCGCGAGAACCCCGCGAGTGAACGCCGGTGACCTCTTCGTCGCTATCTCCACGACGACGTGCGAAGGAGGTATCTGGGGCAAACGGCGTGAACATCGAGTCGATACACCTCGGTAACCTGCTTGCACTCACTCGGACGACAGTGTGAAACATATGACCACCGATCGTCCTCTTGATTCCGCTCGGGATTTCCGACACTTCTCTTCCTCGCAGGACGACTTCCTGGTTACCGTGTGTGTCTCTTCTCTCTCCCTCTTTCTCTCTCCCGCTCTGCCTCCTTCTTTCTTCTCACATAGGTCCCCCGCGTAACCTTCGCAGATACCGCGCGTAGCTTGACAGTTGCTCAAGACTTATGTCACGTTGCAACACCGCCGGGACGCGGATCCGACGAGAAACTTTTCCGATGGTCCTCAGGTCACTGGTTCACCGGTGCCCGCCTGTGCGATAATCTCACGATGATCGATCGATCTCCAGCTTTGCCCGATGCTCTCCCCGACGCGTTGGAGTCGCACGACCGCTACCAAGACTTGGTACCGACCGCGATGTTCCGACGATGACGACGACGACGATGAGGACGGTGACAACCTAACGCACACACCCAGTCAGCTCCTGGGAAACCGCGCCGCAGAACTTAGGCGCAGGAGGTGAAGGTTGACGACGCTCGAGAGAGGGATCCCGCGGCGCCCGAGGAATAGAGCCGAGGGAACGCGTGCCGCCGCCGGTTTCGACTCGCTACGCCAGGAAAAAGGGACGAAGAGAGAGATCCTCCTCGCCGGAGAGAAGTTTCTCTCCCGCCGCGGGTGGGTAGCGCCGCGGCGCCCCGGGATCAATAAAACGACCGCCCGGCCGTCGCCTTCCCTAGGTCCTGCCTGCCTGCTCGCCGAGGTCTCCTCCGTGAGCTGCTTGTGCGCGACGCCGGACGCAGAGACGTCCCGACGCGTGCGCCTGCCACCGCCGCTCTACGCGCCGATCCCTGGACGCGACGGCAGCGTCGGCGACGACGCGGAACCGCGTCGCGCCGCGCTCCGGCGCGAGTTCCACGTGCCGCGCGCACGCTCGCTCGCGTGCCGGACTCGCGCCGGGTCGATACTCGACGCCGCGGCCAGGAGCGTCGACGGGGAAATCCGCGAAAAGTGCGTTCGCGGAATTCGCGTCTGCGTTCCCCCCCGGCGGAGCGAGTGACGGACCTCGAGCGTAGGCCGAGGTGCGTTGCTCAGGGGTGCTCGCGGGTGAAAATACGCATGTCTTCTGCTGAAAAGAAAATAGATTTTAATAGCAAAGGGAGAAACGGGAATACAATGAGAACGATGATTATTGTATGATTGACGTTGCTCAAAAGAGACCGAGAGAACCAGAGTAGCGCAGAGTACGTGTGAATTAACATCGGCGGATAACGTGGAGTTTGCGTCGCTTACTTGAAAATGTGCGACGACCGTGACGATGTCCGAAAAGGGCGCGCGCTTTGTCCGAGCACGAGACGTTCAGCATAAGAGGCTGCGCACTACTCCGCAGAATTGGATTCTCGTCTTCCCGGATACATCCCTGTGCATGCTATTTGCCGCATAATCGTACGTTGCGGAAAAATTAGGGATGTTAGTTTTCTCAGAAATCGGCTGTACAAAGCAAGAGAGAAGGAGAGAGAGAAAGAGAGAGAGAGAGAGAGAGAGAGAGAGAGAGAGAAAGCGAGAGAGAGAGAGAGAGAGAGGGAGAGAGGGAGAGAGAGAGAGAGAGAGAGAGAGGGCGACGCCTGTTATATAGAAATCTACTAAAAAGTACAACACATTTCGTTTCGTTCTTCGTTCACTGCGAGAAAAACGTATGATTTTTTATCACTTTTTCTGTCAGACATTTTTAACGCGAAATATACCCTTGTACGCTGTATAATGTAAAAGAAAAAATTTACATTCAAAATTTGTTGTAAATTTACACATAAAAGGACAGCAAGGCTCGCATGTAAGATATTTAAATTACGGTAATTGCGTACGATGGTATCGCGAGGTATTATCGAACATCTACGGAGGCGCACGCAAAGTTTTATTTGGAACGGCCGGTCATTATCTCGGTATAACCGCTGGGCCAGCTGGGTGCAACTGACGTGTCTCGCTTTCCCTCGTGAATAATTCGTTGCGAAGGGTAGCTCGGAAAATCTCGAGTGCATTAATTGTCAAAGCCGATAAGTTCAGGTGGATCGCAACTGCACCGTTATAAATGCAATCAGATACAATCGCCCGGAATTGTTATTACGATTTGTCGCTGTCGACCGGCTTAATGACTCATCTTCTCATCTCGCCATTGTCGTGTGACATTAATTCATCATCGTTGGCACGTGTGCCGCGAGAATAATACTCTTATAACTCTTAAAACAACGACTCGCCATTACATACTGGCACGTATCCTATGCACAATCGCTTCATTTTATTCCTGCTCTTTGCAGATCGATAGTCGACAACCCCCCGTGCTAGCCACGAACATGTGTTCCAAGGATAGTCTGTATAGTCTGGCAATAGTCTATTATTGTCTGTGCTATGATAGCGAAGTGCAACTTGCTAAAAGTTTAGCACGGAGTAGGGCATCGAATAGCGCGAACACTTGGCGCAATCTCAATCACGGATATTCGGTATCCAATCGAACCGAAATTAGACTGGAATTTAGTATAAGAATCCACGCGTACTTGCGTCGTTTATCTAGTCGCTTACATTAGGAAGCTGAATATAATATTATGTGGTATATATCTCGTTTCACATTTCTCAAGACGTGTAAGCCGCGCGTTTGCAAAAAGTACGTTGAAATTTACGTCATACGTTTTGCGACATCACTGTACGATATTTTTCACAGTTCCGTAGGTGTTTGATAACTTGTTTCGCGACGTTGTTTAGATTGTCACTCTTCGACAACGCCATGGTCTCGATCATATCGATCGGAATGGTCGCGTTGAGATCTTCAATGTATTTCGGCTCCGTAAGATCGTAAGTGACGGACTGCAGAACGCGAAGACAAAGCACTTGTGTTTCTTCCATGGACGATTTATCTCGTAGGCAATGTCTCAACGGGTCTCCCACTCGCGATTCCAGCAGGTATTGCAAACCGGTCTTATTTATGCTCACGTTATACAGAACCATTAGCATCAATCTGTAATGCAACCGCACTCGAAATATTGCCGATGCGCGCAAGGTGCACGTATCTCATTAGAACTTTGTATCAAAGATATAGAAAAACTTCTTTCTCGAAAGACTGTTTCACCGATTTGCATGATAAATTATTTAATTAATACGTATATTTTAATAGAAACCTGCAGTAACCGCGGATAAGAGCGAGTGTGGAAACTGTGTGTTGAAAGTGTACAAAATTTTACTTTTAGTTGCAATAATTTTATTATTTTAATTTTAGTTGCAATAAAATCATGTACCTCTTCAAAGACGACGATCCGGAAGCTGACGGTAATTCCGGGATCAGTTGAATTATTTTCTGCACTAACTCCCTGCCGCTCGAATTTGTGATTAAAAATTCACGACCCTCCGGGCTCGCGGACAAGTTGGAGACGATACCGAGAAGTCCTATTACGAACTTGTACTCGACGTTGCTAGTCGGCGGGAGTGACGTTTTGTAAGTATTATTAAACGCGCTGAAAGTTCCGTCCGCTATCGACAAGAATTCTCCTAGTTCGTTCTGAAACTGAGAGAGAAACCGTAGCACGTAATTAACACATGTGTATTCACATCTTTTGTATATTACAAAAGAAAAAGAAATAAGTGAATATTATAAAAATTATATTGTATATAATTTATAGTATAGAAAAGATTTCGCATCGTGTGATGCGCTCATTCACTTATTATGTTTATATATGTTTTCATTATACTTACGGATAACCAGGCATCGATTGTCTGTGGAAATCTAGAAGCACGCCATGTCAAGTTACCTAACACTGCACCGAGAGTTGCGCAATAGGTACTCTGACTTAATATCTGAAAAAAAAATAAAAAGGCGCATAAATATTCAAGAAATGGCATTTTAAGAAACGGTTTTGCAAAACAGAGATAATGAAGACAGAAATATCGCACTATGCCGCTTGTTTTGTCATTAGCGCAATTTTGAAACAGTCTGCGTAAAACTTAAGAGCTTTAAAAAAGCAAGAGTGGAACTTGAATAAAATGAACGGTGATAAAGATTAATATAAAAGCGAAACGATAAAATTTTACTTGATCTTTCAAACGTCTTATTTCTTCATGCGCAGTTTCCTTTTCTGTCATCAAACGTTCAACTTGAACGCTCAGCTCCTCGCATTTTGACTCCAATGTTATCATTTCTTTCGCGTTATCTATACGAGGAAAGTAACGTCTAAGTTTTGTCAATCGCACATTAATCCGCCGTCATCCACGCTCTGCTTTTAGCATATTCACTCGCTTGCAGCGGATATTTTACTTTTTCGTGTAATAACTAAGAACGGATTAAAGGAGAAAGTTGCGTAACATAACCTTTTAAAATAACGGACGACGTCGAAAATTTATTGAAAAGCGTATGGATTTTATCGCCGTTCGTTTCCTCGCTATGAAAGCCTTGTTCGAAATTGTCAGTCACGAGGATATTTGGTACATCGTCTATGAATTCGTGGAAATTGCCCTTAGAGCTTAAAATTGTCTCCAGAGAATCCTGAAATCACGAGACACGGAGGAAAACTTGGCGTTACGAAATAAACATCATTACTCGCTGAAGATTATATTATAATTTTGCGAAATACGCACGAAGAGTTTGCGATCGTTTTCGAAATTGAATTCGTCCATGTCTGTTTCCGCTCTCGTATAACCAAAAAGAGACGACAATACAATTGGAGGATGCGAACGCTTTTCGAATTGTTTACGAAATCCCGCTGCAACGTGAACAAACACAATCTCGATTATGTTTCACATCTTTAATTCGATGATTTTTTACCCTGTAATTTGTACGAGTCGTTGATTAGATGTAACCTCGCATTTACATATATTCTCGTACACAGTTATATCAATTATTAGAAATTCTCTTGCATAACAATATAAATTCTTGTTAATATTCAGAGATCATCGGTTTCTAAAAAAATATCAGATTAAAAATACCGTGTGGAGCGCCGTTAAACTCAAGGTCTCGCTATAATGCAGTTTCCGTTTATTGCGATAAGATAAGGTGCGTTCAGGTCGGAAATTCGCGCTGCGACGTGCACAATGTTATACGCGCATCGCATTACACACACGAGAGAGAAATTGACTGATCCCCGCTGTGAGCGGCGTGGTGCGAAGTTCGTGCGAAGAACCGTTAACGTAACGATAGATCGACTTCCCGCGTGGCCTCTGTCGGATGTCTTTAGGAACGCATAGCGTGCCTATGATGCACTGCGCACGACCCTTTCCCCTTTCGGTGTTATGATGCTCGAGAACGATATCGGGTGTAACCTCACGACTTGTAGAAGTTTTATTATTTTTCAAGCTACGTGGATATTTGTGGAACAGAGTCGAGATCGATCGGAATTGCACAGAACGTAAGTCACATGACGAATGCTGTTTCAGGCGAAATGCAGTTGTGTTTAATTCACGATCGAGAACCGACGATGTTATATACCACATAACGCTCTACCGTTGCCACTCACTTTCCTCAACATACTTCTTTGATTATTATCCGATATATGATACGAATAGAGAGAACTTTATTGTTTAAATGATGTGTGAGCTAATCGGACGAATACAGACGATTCTTGAGTTGATCCTAGGATATTTTGTTTTACAGGTCTCGCAGTGATGTTCAGTGAAGGTGAAGAGGTACTTGCCAAGTTGCCGAATACTTCTGAATATTATAAAGGGAGGATTCTCAATGTTAAAGGTGATCAGTACAAGATCAAATTCGAAACCGGTGCTCAGCATACAGTCAGTGAAATGGATATTAAGGTAATCGTTAGTACCGGGTAGAAATGAATACTGTCCAAAATTATACATTTGAGAATAAAAAGTATCAAGAGAATTTTTTATCCTTCAACATAATATACATGTAATATGTTATTTTTATTTTTTAAGGTTGAAAGGAGAGGGAGGACTCCAACTAGAATAAGCAACAGGATAGCTGGGAAGAGTCCTATGAGACAAAGATATTCTCCCAGCAGGAAGTCCCCAAGTAAGCGATCGCCTGCCAGACAGTCGATGTACACACCGACTAAGAAATTGCCTGTTCGTAATACACGTCTTGCAAAAGTATCTCTGTCACGTATAGATATCGAAAGTGGTAAATATATTACTTCCAACTATACGTTTGTTAAATACATCAGAATATATAATACACAAAGTTTTCCTTATTCAGATAATATAAATAATCACAAAACAGAAAGCGATATGAAAAAAATTGACGAGAGCCCGACTGAAACAATGCCTCTGCAACAACGTTTAGATGAAATCAGAACTACACTGATGCGTAGAGCACGAATGTCGAGCGTGACGAAAATTGAGAAAGAGCGTACACCAATTGTATTGGTCAGAGATATTGACAGAGCTGCTTCGCTTCCAATAGAGAGAAAAAGTTATTTATTCGATTATTCTCTAGCTGAACGAGGAAGAGGATATTCTATGCAGCGAGATAAAGTAATTTTTTTTTTAATGATATCATCAATCTATTAGATTCAATTTCTTTTAATAAATTCTGTATGCGATGCTCTGTTTATGTGGTAACAGCTTGTGGAGTGTATCGATAATTAGTTTCAGGATCTGACAAAAGTTCCGCTACCACAGGAAAGTAGAGAAGAGAAACGAGTGACCTCGATACCAGTAAACCGCGATAAAGGAATAATCAGAATTGATCAACCTCAGGAATGGGGTGGTTGGATTGGGACGTCTTTCCTCATATTTTTATTGCCGATATCCATAATTCTGCCGCAATTTCTATGCTGGAAAGGACTATGTCAATCTGATCGTGTACAATTTTCTACCGACTGGAGGGCTTACATAAATTTGCATGGATTTTTAACTTATATTGTATATCTAACAGTATTGGCTTGCGTCTCGGTTGTACCGATTGGAAAGAACGTGGACGGGCAACAGAGTAAAATCGGAAAATTGCAATATCGCATAAATGGTATGTAGGTGTGGGAAATTGCTATATCGCGTGAGAGGATTACTTTCACTTCCATTCTTAGTACTACTAATATTCTTCCGGATATTTTTCAGGATTCGTAAGTGCTACTTTAGCAGTAGTATTATTCGGTTTATGTGTATATAAGAATGTTCCAATCTCTGATTATATTTTGGAAAATTCCCTACAATTGGCAATCAGTGGCTGGCTTATTGGGACAATTTTAGCCTTGGGATTGTATGTTAAGGCAGAGAGAGCTTCAATAGCTAACCTAAATATATACGCGTCAACCAATAGCAAAATATATAACTTTTGGCAAGGCAAAGAAATTAATCCACGAATTGGTATTTTGGACGTCAAGTTGCTGTTGATACGAGCTTCTCTCATAGGCACGGTAATTACTTCGTATTTCGTGACCGGCAAACTCTGATACGGAAATTCTCAGTATAATTTCTAATTATATTCTTTATATTTTGCAGTTGATTATGAACATAGCCATTGCCACTAAAGCTATCGGCAACGTGAGGACTTTAAATATCGAACAACTTGATGTATCTACGTTGTTAGTGATCTCCTTGCAGCTTTTCTACATTCTAGATGGATTGATATACGAAGCCACTATCTTTACGTCCTTTGCGGTAATGTACGAGGGAACTGGATACATGACGTGCGTTAGCCACTTGCTATATCCGTTCTTGCCAACTCTCACGACGAAATTTATGTTGTATCACAAGTAAGTATATCTATCATATATACTTGCATGCATATATATATATATATATATATATATGTCCCATTTTATTATATTATATATACATTTTTACAAATTCTATCATAATAAGTTCCAGTAAATCTTAATTGTTATTTCACACATTTTTAGATTACAATTTAATTACTACATGGGCATATTCGTTTTAATTTTCATAATGGGATATATGTTATACAGAAGTAGTAATTCACGGAAAGATGAGTTCAGGAAAAATCCTGTCTCCCCGACAGTGCCTTGTGAGTGTAAAAATTAATAATCGCTATATCTTGTTTTGTTTTCTATAATCAAGATAAATGGACATATATTTATTCCTATGGAATTTGCAGACTTGGAAACTATCCCAACATCACGTGGGAAGAAGCTCATGCTGTCCGGTCTGTGGGGTTACGTCAGACATCCAAATTATTTAGGTGACATCATGATGCAGTGGTCCATTGCGGGTATCAGTTTAGCGATCGACCTTCTACCGTATTACGCGGCTATCTGTTGCACATTAACGTTGGCTTATAGAGCCGTGAGAGACAACAGACGTTGTCAAACACGTTACGGATACGCATGGGAGGAATATTGCTCGCGCGTAAAGTACATGATTTTAAAGTGCGTGTTTTAAAGCAATAAAGGCGCAACATTTTTAAGCACCAAATTCCATATCATAAAGAGATGCTCAGTATATCTTATAAGAATTTTAAATCATATACTTCATGATATTTTTTCATTATAAGATTATGGCAATGTATAGTAACATATAGTATATTTTAAATTCTTTATCTACATATAAGATCGGACATGACAAGATTGAGATTATGAACCAAAAGTATTTTATTGATATTGAAAAATTTCATTAGATTAAGATTATAGGATAAAACTTTTTATGGACGACAATATTAAAGCATGTAGAACACGTGTAGAACACGTTGCTGCATATTTTAATGAAATAATAAAATGTTTGTAACATTATATTAGCATCTTTTTATATTTAAAATATATATATAGCTTTTAAGACACGTGCCTGTAATATGGAGCACTGAAATGTGAAAATACAAATTAATTAAGAAATTTTATACTTTTGTATTAATCGTGTGTAATTATCTAAGATTACGACAAGCAATTTCTTTTTAAGTCATTAATTTTTTAATAAAATATATTAGCGCCTATCTCGTATCTATTGTACATTTTAACGAAACGATTTTATGGGTATAAAAGACGAGATGATAAAAATTACGAGATGAATGACTTAATTAACAGTAGTATAATTTATATTTGTACACATTCTCTCTCTCTCTCTCTCTCTCTCTCTCTCTGTCTCTGAATTTTTATTAAACTGCTCGTGTATGTACATGTATATATACATGTGTATATATATATATGTCACTTGCTATAAAAACAATTTCCGATAAGGTGAATTCTTAAAAATGTGTTCATTCGAATTGTCTGTCTGTAATGTAATTTTCACAAACTGAAAAGTGATATATTGTTGCACACAATGGAAATTATTATTATTATTTGTTGGTAAAACGATTTCTGCTATACTGATGTTCATTTAATAATTAATTTGTTTCTTTACTTACTATAAAGTAACGAAAGCGAATTCTCATCGTATCATTTGCACATTTATTCACAGTAGACACGCGAGTAGTCGTTCGAATAATTGTACATATCTATTCGCTAGTTATATATCTATATATATCTATACCTTACAATTATGATTAAAAATCATCGCGCTAAAAGCTGCAAACTTACATTTCTATGTGACATTTTTTGAACATTTTATTTTGCGTGTTTTCTCTTCTTAAGAAAAGTACTGCTCGAACTTGCATGTGAAATAGACTATGTTCGAAAATTATTGCAGGAAATAAAAGAATTATATAAATATATTCACGATATGACGTGTAGAAGGAACGTCATTCTTTCCAATTTTATATATCTTGTCAGTAACTATATTTAAATCGTATTTTTTTACAAATGCGTTTTCTGTTTAATGATAAACGCACGTGGTGAACCAATCGTAATTAATCTAGTGTCTCGATGACATTCATGTTGACAAAATACTTTGTCTCCGTCTTTCATCAAGCAGCGCTAATGAAACTTTGATAAACAGTAGATGAAATTTATAACGTGATTTTTCAATTTCTTGCTTTCGACATCAATATTTTTATGTCTTTTTTTTTTTGCGGCCCGGATTGTTTAATGTGTCTGTAAATTAATCGACACGACGATGAAAGTAATCCAAGTCACAAGTATGGAAAAATCAAGTTAAGCGATATTTTTCGCGAGAAGAATCTTTCCGTACACTTAAGATTAATTTTGATTTTCCAAGCGTATCTTTTAATACGTAGGAGAAACGTAGAAACTTATTTACCTCTATAATATACAAGAGTCATGACTTAGATCACTTTTATTATCGCGGGAGCAATTTGATCTTCATATGTTATAATTTCTTTTTGTATTTCGCCATGAACTGTCACCCAAATTAGTGCCTATTGACGTTTCTTCCGCGACAAAGCTATCATGCTTCGTTAGGAACATATTGTCGCTCGTCCGTGTCGCTTATCGCTATACTGTGTACTTTCTAATTACCGAAAGAATCGCAATCGAATTAACGAAAATCTCGTGAACGCTGTTGTTTTGGCACACAACACATACACACACACATACACACACGCATACGACACATGTCCATCCGCGTTCGTTTAATTTTTATCGTTAAGTGTTTCGTGGCAGCTTTCAATTCAGTACTTTCATCACCTGCTAAGTCGGTGGACTATCGTCCCCGCGAGAAATGTTACACCGTTCGACGCGTATCGCAACTCGAAAACGCGAGAGGACGCGAGGACCTTCCCGAATTGATTGGTCCTCGGGGCCCAGACGAGGCCCGGTGAGACGTGTTGATGTCCGTTCAGAGAAAATAGAAGACCCAATACACGGCGTTGAACAGCATGAAGCTGACCGGGAAGATGATTCGCGAGTACTTGTCTATCACGTTTACGTCCTTGATCTTAGGCATCGATACGCGCAGCACGGAGGCTCCTCTGCGTATGGCGTGTAACACCTGTGAAACACACTTGTAACATGTAAATATTTACAAATACAGTAATGGAGAGCGATTCTGACAACCAGAACAAGCTATCGTATTTGGAAATATCGTATTTGGAAAAGGAGGAGTATAAGAGAGAGTAATTTAGAGAAGTAATCTGTTAGATTTGTATTATAATTATATATTGCATATTTCCGTTTGTTATCACAAACAAGGGCGACTGCTCGTCGCAGTTGCCCAATTACCATTTTCTACAGAATTTGCATTTTTTCGCTCTCCGGGTGATCGTATAAAATAACTATAACAATATAGATACGTGTATTTGTAACAAAGACGTGACATACACTCGCGCGCGCGCACACAAATCCGGAAAATCTGGTGGAGATATTTAAAGATCGTCTCGCTCCTTCGAACATTCTTTAGACGTCTTGTGCATTGTTTGGGAATACCTTGACATACCTTTGGCTTGTGCGGTCTCGGGCCTCTGTACCTGAGGCCGCTGTTTCGGGTGTGCGTATTATAAGCGGCGGCCCTGGAGATGCGAAAGCTCGGTGGAAACTTGGCTGGGTCGTGATCTCTTCCGGCTCCGGGCGTCGACGAAGCGCTGACCAAGCCCGACCTATTTCTGATGCTCGGTAACGGCGACATTCGGAGATCCTGCAGCTCTATAATGTCCGCGTCTGTAGAGCCGGGAAACGGCGAGCTGGCTTTGCTGCCTGCAAAGAGGAAGACGGGAATTAGCCGAGCGCGAGGTGAAACATCCGGAGTGACGAGTCGTCGCTCGATATTCGCTCACCGGGCTTCGAGGAGAGCACTTTCCTCTCGTCGGTCTCCTTCTTCTTGGTCTTCTTTTTCGCCCGGGCGCCCCAGTACGTATAATTGACCGCCGCGTATTCCAACAGGGCCGCGAACACGAACACGAAGCACATCACCAGGTAAATGTCGATGGCTTTCACGTAACTGATCCGTGGCAGTGAGCTCCTAACACCCGTCGATATTGTTGTCATCGTCAACACCGTCGTGATTCCTGAGGAAGAGTCGGCGGATCATGCAATTACGATGTCAAATAATTTCTAACGGGCGGGAGAGGGAGGAGTGGAGGGGGGGCGGGCATTTCTGTCTCGGATTCTTACCGAGAGCCACCCTCGCGCTGGTGGCTTCGTGATTGATCCAGAAGCTGACCCAGCTGAGCATCACGATCAGTATACTCGGCAGATATGTCTGAAATACGAAGTAGCCGATGTTCCTCTGGAGCTTGAAGCTCAACGAGAGCCTCTGGTAGATGCCGGTAGCCAGCTTCTCCTTCCGATCGTTGGTCTCGTAGCCGATTATCGTGAACTGCGGCAATTCCGCATCCTTGACCCCACGAACGGGGGTTTCCTTCCAGTACATTACTACGTCGAGCACCGTGTACCCGTCTATACATGAAGAGTGGCGTAATATAGAGCGCACAAGCCGGCAGTCACATTGTAAAAGAGTAGCGGAAGTCTAATCGGCCGATTATTTGTTCGCTCATCGACGGCAATATTATCCCGACTACACGGTAATCGCAAAATCTCCAGATATACAAATCTACCGCAAGGAGAAACGTAGTAGGTATCAACGTCGTCGACGTTTGCTCTATCGTTTTGTGTGCCCCCTTTTTCTTTCGCTCATTCAAAGTGCAACTTTCGATTGCAGGAAATACCTTGCTTCGACTCCGGAAAATGAGAGATATTCGGCGGAAGCTAACCGTTCGATCAAATACATATCTGAACACGTACAGCTCTCGATCTCTACGGTGCAGTTCTGCGAGTCGAGGGGATAATAGTGCAGGTCCATCATACAGGCCAGGGTCGTCGTGAATCTCATGCCGTACGTGATCGAGCCGTCACCGGACAACCTGACGAGCTTGTTGCGCTCGGTGACGTCGTGCAGAAAGCTGTGAACAAGAAAATCAGTCCGATGCAGCGAGACAGTCTTTACGATAAATAGAGAGAGAGAGAGGGAGAGAGAGAGAGAGAGAGAGAGAGAGAAGGAGAGAGAGAGAGAGAGAGAGAGAGAGAGAGAGAGAGGGGGCCACTCTGGCAAGTCTCTATTCGCGTCGGGCGATTGATATCTTTATTATCGCGGTGATCGTCACCTGTTCTTGTCGTTCGCGAAGAACGTGTCCGGGACCCAAATCTTTTCCGCGAAGTCACCGCTCAGCGTCAGGACCTCGCCCTCGTGCGAAAAGGCGAGTCTCTCGTCCTTCCAATATTGATTCAAGTACATCGTTATCGTGTAATCCTGACGGTTAATCACGGTTAGACGTCCGAGGTACCACACCTACTAACTTGCTAACTAATTGCTTATTAATTACTCATTAAGTATCACAATATTTATGACATTAGTCGCGCAGTGAATCGCGCCACATGCATGAGGCATAAGAAAGTCTTGACTCGCGATCATTAGTTTATCGCGATAATTTTCGAAACTCCATCCGCGGCTCTGCGTTAACACCCCGCGATATTTCCGGAAAAGAAAAAAGGGAAAAACATCATACGCGATCGACAGGATCGACGTCCGACGCGCGAACGGGAAAGAGGGGACTTTACGTCGCGAATCAATCATTAGCACACACGGTTTATCGGCGCCCTGAAGGCAGAAATCGATTTGGCAGCGACGACGAAGACGCTGTGAATGTCGACCGAGGAACATGCTCCGTATCTCGAGGATCATGCATATAACATCACGATAGCAACATCCGATGCAAGACGCGCGCATATTTCAGTTTGCACGCGCTAAACAAGGCGGACGCGTTACTTCATGCAGAATCTCCTTATTTATCTCATTTGTCTCGCCCACTCACCATATTGACTTCTGAGATCGCGTCGAAACTCGCGATGGTGAGATCCATTCCGACCAGCAACGGATCACCTTCGAGAAACAGGAAGCATATCGCATTAATTCGTCGAGTATCTCGCGTCGCGCGTGACGCCAATAGAAAAGAAAAAGAAAGAACAAAGCAAAGAAAAGGAAGGAGGGCAGAGGCATCCGAATTTTGCCGCTTTTCAAGCTGCTCGCGATGGAGAGACCCGTTAAACGGAAAAGAAATAGTTTAAAGCCGCCTAATCCATTGATAATATCGGCAAATTACTTCCCCCTCGTTGCACGTTCAATTAAAAGCGCTGATTGCGATCGTGCCTCGTTGAATGGTATGGAGACTTCATTAAAAGCTCTCAGAGGGAGAGAGAAAGAAAGAGGAGAGGAGAGGATCTCGCCGGCGAGGAGCGCTAATGTCGTGTTCTACCTCCGGTTGAGCGAGCGGCTTTATTCTAGCGGCTAGCTCTGTTAATTAATACGGCGTCTAATATCGCGTTCCATTAAAATATCTCAGGTGCTCGAGGGGGATTTGGCGCTAGAAGAAAGAAAGAAGGGAGAAACGCGCATGCTTAATTCCAATGGAAGAGAAACGCGCATGCTTAATTCCGGAAGAGAGAGAGAGAGAGAGAGAGAGAGAGAGAGAGAGAGAGAGTGAGAGAGAGAGAGAGAGAGAGAGAGAGTTTAACGGCGTGAAGAAGCGACAAGTGCGAAGCTTACCGCCGAAGTTCGGCCTTAATCGAATATCGTAGCCGTCGAGTATTCTCGAAATTGTCTGCGTAACGTTCTCCAGCCTATCGGACATCCCGGTGTTCTCTAGGGAAGCCCTGCGAAGTGCGAAATTCCGAAATGCGGATATTGTCGATAATGCTCGAGAGCGTTAAAATATCACGCGCGCCAGACAACACGTTGTCGAAGCTATCGCATGAACATTGCCGATCGAACAGGTGAGATGATCGCCAGGTGTTCGATCGCGCCGCTTTATCCGTGAAGTACGCGTCGAGAGATTCGTCGATACCTCCGACGTTCATCCGTTCAAACGTGACGCGACGAAGAGAAAAATTCCGAATTACACCTTCCCGGAGAAATTCGGAAATGAGTCGTCAAGTGATAAATTGTGTTCGTTTACTTTAATTTGACCGTAATTCGCCATCGGTATCAGGCTGTGCGACGGAAACGCGCGCATAAGAAGCTAAGGGACGGAACGACGTGCAAATTGATCTGTCGATGAGGAATCATGCATGGAACGGACATATTATCACGCATCGCAAAATTACTGCCGCTGAGTAATTCCCCCACCGTCGACCTGATCTGGTCGATAGCGATTCTACTCGTGATCACGATATTCTTGATCGTCGCGAGGAGATAGTTGCGCGCGCGCGCGCGCGAGTCTCTGAATGCATCCGTGCCTCGAGAGGATTATCCAGCCTCTTTCGGCCCGGAAATGGAGCTTTGTTGTGTCTCCCTGTGTACATTGGCGTGATTGCAGCTCCGGTTGCCCGTGCAGTCGCTCACATCGCGCGCCGGGCTTAATTCAGGTATCTAATTACTTCCTCGCGCTATTTAATCACGACAGTAAAAACGAGAGAAAAGAGAGAGAGAGAAAGAGAGAAAAACGAGCGAGATTCATTCCCAGCGTGATTTGCGTTAGCGAATGCTCGGAGGTAACATTTTTTCCCTCCGGATTTTCGCTCACATGAGCGCTTCGATCGTTTAATTCGCACGGACGAACGAAATTCCAGGACGTCGCGTTTATCGAAAGCCCGAAAATTCTCCATCGACTTCGCGTCAGAGGAAGAGTGCGTTTGAATACAGAAGCGCGCGCGCGTGCAGCCGCAAAGGTGCGTGACACGTGCGCGTGGCAGCGCGAGGCAGCGCGAGGAAAAGTGGCGGGTGCTGTTGAAGCGACGGCTGTCACACTTAAAATCCGCGAGACAGGGGATGGATTCGCGCGACGACGACGGTGCTCACCAGATGACACGATGACGTAGCTGCACGAGGAGGACGACGATCAACGGCAGAAGCGCGCGCGGCAGCATCCTGCCAGTCGTCTGCGTTATCCGGGCGGGATTGCGTCAGTAAACGAGCGGGGAGGACGTCATCCCCTCGGCATCCTCGTGGCCGCCGGTTCGCCGCCGCCGTCGTCTGAAAGCAGACAAAAGGAAGCACCGTGCGGACACACACACACACACACACACACCGTCACTGGCGACCCTTTTCCGCACGCCGCCGCCCTTGACCTCGTGTATCACACAACACCGCGCGCGTACTCCCACTACACGTCCTATCGCGCGTACACGCAACCCCCGCACGCGGAATCAGCTACCGCTGTGGCGCGCGCGAGTACTTGGAGTACCCTAGCTTAACCCTTGCACCATCGTCCAGCGAAAAGGAGAGGTCTGTTTGACTTGGCAATTTCTGCGCCCGTATAATGGTCCCGTCTCTTGGGACCGGCGGCAAAATTCAAGGCAAACAATTAAGGTCTCCGACGGGAGTGTTTGCCGATCGGCGAACATCCCTTCGTCGCGCAGCCTTTCTGCCGCGCAGGCACGAGGAGAGAGTATCCGATGCCCGGGTGTCTCGATACCTTCCTCGCGCTCTATTCAACGATCTCGCGCGTCCATCTAGATGACCATTTGTACCTCCTCTCTTTGTAGCCCACGGAGGCCCGACCGCCGTCGGAGCGTTCGCGTTGAATCGCTAAAGAGAAGAGTCCGCGAAATATAGCCCGGCGACGTGCCGCGCTCTTCTTATTTCGCGGGGCGATCAAGATGACGAAGATCTTGTTAGCCGCGCGAAACTCTATACTCCGTAAATAATGACGGCCAAGGGCGACTCTCTTCCCCACCGCCCCCTCCCCCCCGCGCTCCCTCTGCCCTGCTTCCGCCTCGTTTTATTAATGTTTTCGTTTTAGATTGACGAGGGAGTGATATTTCATCACTTGCGATATCCTACGCGCGAGCACTTTATCCTTGCCCGTTGCGAGACGCCCGTAGTCGTCCGCTCATGACATGTAAAACTCGCGAATAAAATTGTGCGCTAACACCCCGACTCTGTGCGAATCTTACCGCCGGCGGGATCTCGCACGCAACCCCATTGTCTCGCGCTCCTCGTGACCAGCTCGCCGAGATGAATCGCACGCAGTTCGCACGTTACCGTGAAATCGCGCCAACGATCGCGCGCGCCTGCCGTGGAAAATTCAAGCGACGTTCCCGATTCCACGGCGATCGCGGCGAGAACAAATGGGAGATTAGCAGCGAGTCGTGCAACAAGCTTCCGTGCGACGGGATCAAGCCGATGTGTCAAGCACGCACGAGAGGAAAACGTTATTCCTCGCACATCCTCTCGAGCCATATTCGCAAGTGCAGTACTCTCGCTGCTAGCCGGACTTTCCGTCTCTTCTCTCCTTCCTTTTCTCTTCCCGCGTCGCGACGTTGCCTCACGACGGATTAACCGTACCTGATGTATCCGACGGTCACCATGACGCGGGGGGTCCCATTGCCGATCCGATGGGGACCTGGCGATGGACGATCAGGCTGGCTGTCACGCCGCGGTCTCGCAACGTTATCACTCGCGTGCACTTTGATCCGCGGATCGCGAGTCACAAGATCGCAGTCTCGCATCGACCGCGGCTCTCAGGATCACGATCTGCCCGAACGTTGGTCCATCAGCCAGTGACTGAGCCCGTTCTCACCGAGCCCGGCGTTTGCTAACGTCCGTGTGGAGTCCAACGTAATCCGGATTTCACTGTCACGCCAAGAACTCGCGGATCACTCTCGCTCGCGGATACATTCGAACGTACTGTCACGAACGCATCATCGATCGTCGCGCAGCATCACTCCTCGTCGACGTCGTCCTCGTCGTCGTCGTCGTCGTCACTGCCTTCGTCGTCTTCCTCGTCGTCGTCGTCGTCGTCGTCGTCGTCGTCGTCAACGTCGTTAACGCTGTCAACGTCGTCAACCAGAAACGAAGCCGCAAGGTATTCCCGTGCGCCACGAGCCTCGCGGAGGCTGCTGCCTTTCATCCCTCGTAGCTAACGCGGATCCACTGTCGATTTCTCTCTTCAGACCCTCTCTCTCTCTCTCTCTCTCTCCCCTTGACTCCTTGCCCCTCCCCCTCCCTTCATCGTCAGCGCGCTCTTTCTCCCTCGCGGTCTCTCCGGAAATCGTTCTCCCCTCGCTCTTACTCATAGACGCGCGGCTCGTTATCTCTCTTTCGCTCCGAGTACCTTGTTCAACCCCTCGCCTCGTCCTTCGCTCCACGCGAATCCTCCGTCTATCTCTCTCGCTCACTCTCTCTCTCTCTCTCTCTCTCTCTCTCTCTCTCTCTCTCTCTCTCTCTCTCTCTCTCTCTCTCTCCTTCTCCCTCGCTCTCAGTCGTCCTCGTTCTAATATATTATTTATCTCTCTTGATCTCACTCTCGCAGATCCTCCGTTACTCTCAGTCTCGCGGAAGCACCGTCCCTCCCGCTCGCGCGTTTTCGTGATCGCCTATCTCCCTCGCTCTCGTGAACCCTTTCCTTTCCTTCCTCTCCTCTTTCCCATTTCGCTCTCGTGGATCCACCGTCCCTCTCGCCCGCATCCCCCTTTTTCACGTGAGATCGTGCCGTTCCACCCCCGTGCATCACCGATATATTCACCACCCGCCTCTCTCTCCCTCGCCCTTCCTCACCGCCCTTTCTCTCTCCTCTCTCTTCCCGCGTCGTCTCTCTTTCTCTCTCTCTCTCTCTCTCTCTCTCTCTCAGATCACCTTGATTCTTCTCTCTTCCGCTCCTCCGAGTCTCTCCGTCTTGCGTTGCCACCCCCGCCCGCAAGCCCCGATCAACCCCCGCGAATTGCCGCACGGCCGCAGGGCGCATGCACGGTATGCTCTATCGCTGCCGACCTAGTGACACACAGAGCCGGCGATCGGATTTTCAGAGCGAGCCGATCGAACAGCAGCATCACCAGCATCACCCACCGCCGTCACCCGCGCTCCTTAAGACGCGAGAGAGGGTGTCATTAACCTTCGAGAGTGGTAACGCGCTACGAATCGGAGGCGATCGATGCTTATTTCGCGAAGCGTGGCAAAAACCGATCCGCTATTCTTAATCGCGACGTGACGGCGCTCTATTCGCGGCGAATGAGAATAACAGAGTTCTCGTCGGGAGGGTGAGGGAGAGGGAGAGGAGGAAGGAAGACTGCGAGAAACGTCGACTTCGCGCGCGAGTGACACCGGTCACGCGCTCGTCCGATCGCGTCACTCGAGTCGCGAATAAAAAGGATCCACCGCGAGGGTGAGGAGGGTGAGAAGAAGGAGCGAGGGCGAGCCTCGCGAGCGGCTTCCGGCGTTCTAACGAGAGTCGCGTCTCTCGGGCGAACGCGACCCCCTGAAAAATAAGAGCCCGGAAAGCGGCCGGCGCGGAGATAAGATCAAAATTAATGGGCACCCGGCTAAGCATTAATGAAGATTCACTTCCGCGTCATATCACATGCATTACCGCGACAAAGTTATCCGATAAGTGGACTGTCGGGATTTGGAGCACTTGGCGCGGGGGTGTGTAAGGATGATTTGCGAGCGCCGTGCGGAAACGTCGAGTGCCGCTTCCTTATTAAGACCGCAGATGGAAGAATCCTCCCCGCGAGAGACGCGGATTATCGTCGTTCCATCTCGCAACATTTTCGACACGGTGGCCGAGAAAGAATCCGCTCGTACTTGCGGAAGAAACACCGATCTCGCGGAGACGATCGATATCTCGAGGGTGCTCTCGCAAAATCGCGGTGCGCACGTAAAGTTGGCGCTTTAGCGTTTCACGGTCGCGCGCGCGCTACTTGCGAATCACTCCGGCTGCGATAGCGTGTGGGTGTAACAGCGGTTAGATTTACAATCGATAAGCGACTTCCTCCGCCGGCAGGATGGGTTCACTTACCTCCGAGGGGCGATAAGAGTTTTCCCGTCGGCAACATCGACTCTGGTCGGAAATCATTTCCACAGCCGGAATCCTGGAGGAGAGGACGCGTCTCGATCAGTTTCGCGCATGTCCGCGTGGAAATGCGGCCGAGAAATCACTTCGCGGCCTCGATAACTTTCCAAATCGAGGAGCGCGCTTTTCCTGCGAAACTCCACCCTCGCGGAACTTCCGAGCGAGGACACGTCTCTTATCGCGACGAACGCGCGCGTCGCTGAAAATTAATCACGCTTTATTAAGAGTTCCCCGCGAATTGCGCTTCCCTTACGTCTCCGCCAATAAAACAAATCGCTTCTAAGCATCGTCGACATGTTGGCGCTACCTTTTTCGCGTTTGACGCGAAAGAAATGTTACATTAGCATTCATTAACCACTCCGGTCGTATCAGTCGAGTCCGTAAGACTCGCCTCATGCGACACAGCGTGTCGTTGTCGCGCGAGCTCACCTTCGTATAAATTTCGCACTTAGATGTGTGTGAATGTGTGGACGAAACTAACTTCTCTGAATCAAGTGTGCAGCCCGGCCGAAACACCGCGCTCGCGATCAGTGCGCGGCAGGAAACTTGTTAATTAACGCGTTTAAATTTTCTAGCTGCTCGGAGTTTAATGTGATTTAACGAGAGAGGAAGAGAGAGAGAGAGAGAGAGAGAGAGAGAGAGAGAGAGAGAGAAGTGATGTACGAAATCTCGTTGATTGTAGGACCAAATCATCTCGGCCTCGTCAGATGTGGTTTCATTTTCCGTCTGAACGGCGTGAACGCTTCAACAACACCCTGATGACTAGTAATCAAACTGTCAGAGTTAAAAAGAACGTACATACGCGAGAAGCACAGAGCGATACTTTAATAAATTTTCTTCATTTCTCGAACGTTCTCAATTTCGGCGACTTTAAAGTACGCTCAATCTCCCGATTAGCTTTCTATCTTCGCAATTAGTTTCGGATTAATTTATTCCCTTTCTATCCATCTTAATGTACCATCGCTTCCATCCTCAACGAAATCAAAATTCTCCTCTTTATCTTTTCCAAGGAGCTCTGAGCTCGATCTGCGCGTTTACAAGAAACACACTCGGCACGTTCGTCCAAACATCCCGCAGTTGCCGCGCCACGTCTCCTAATCGTATAAACACACCGGGACGCGTTATCGGGTCCCCTGGTAATTAATTGCAACTCGATTTACGATTGGAGATCGAACGTTGAGTTTGCCGCGCGGCGCGTTGAAGCGGTTAAGCGCGAACACGATCGGCGGTGATTTCGGGGCTTGCGCGCCGCGCGACGCTGTAAGCCGCGTCTTAGGGGGTTCGTGGCAGGAAGATCCACGCGGCCGCCGCAATGGGCCGTCGCGCCTCGTGTCAAACTCAACTCGGCGCCAACACACGACGACGAGTCACTACGTGGGTGCTGTTGAAATCTCGCCGGAGCGGAGCCGCGAGTCAACCGGACGCCGGGAACATGATGACGCCGAGAGAACTGTCGCTGTGAGTAGAAAAAAAGTAGCGATCGTCGAGAGAGCGCGGCCGCCGATTCACTGGCCGATTCACTCGCCGTACATCGCCGCGCAGTCTCGTTTTCTGTTCGCATTCGAGCGCGCGACGGGATGTGTGACCTCGCGTGAAACATTCCGCGTGAAAAATCCTTCGGCAAATCCCCGCGACATCACTCGGCCTTACGACCTGTCAAGCGCCGTCGCTCTCTACGCGAGTGTCTTCTCGGACGCGCACCTTCGCGCCGACTTGCATCGTTCGTTAAGTTGGAATTACGAGACATTTCTGATACGACGTTTTGATAAAGTTTCATGGACCATATCATTCATGAACCTCCACATCCTGTTCGATTCCGTTGGCGGGACCTCAAGTCTCTCACTTGCGAAAGAATCGCGCTCGCGCGTACAACGTTCCGTCTCGTGTATGGCGGGTTGCCGTGGCCGCCGATTGTTATTCAGGTCGCTCGTGGCTTATTCAATGCGTCCGTTGTTTTACATGCCGTATCTGCAAACGTTTTGCATGCATCTGAATGCGATGCGATGAGATGTTTAATCGCTTCGTACATCAAAGTCGCCGGCACTTGTGACGCATGAGGCTCAAAGATGTATCTTGAGCGATTATCATGCGAACCGCGAGTCGCGAGAGGGGGAAAGGGAGCACCTGGATGTTTCAAGTATAGATACACACAGAAGACTCTCACGGGAGACGTAATTAGTCCTCTGAATTTAATCAAGCGTATCTCGAGCGGTCGTCCGAGCGAACGCGAATGTTCCGGAAACGTCGGAAGCTTTGCAGCGGCGCATCCTTTTGTGAGAGAGGCGTTTTTCGATACGAGGTTGACACTCGTCTCAGTCAGGGTAATTCTGATCATCGAGGTGTCATCGGATATACGATAATTATACACGCGGTGATCGATAAGTCTCAGGATAAAAGTCTCGAAAAGATTCCATCATCGTCCGTCGAAATGAAAAAAAAACTACGTGTCATTCGCTGTAAACGCGCGCGCGTGCGCAGTCGCAATTGCAAATCGCAAATTGAGTTGAATTTATTTGCAAACGAACTTCGGGAGCCATGAGGGGATTGATGAGATGGTTTCGGGAGATCGGCTGGCCGCAACTTCTGCATATGCATCGTCGTGGTTTGCAAACTGCACGCATCGCGTTCGACGCGTCGCTTCGTTTTTACGTGTCCGCGCGATAATGTTATTCCACTGGCGGAAGTATCGTCGATAATTTGTGCAATTCCCTCGCAGGGCCATAAATGAATCCAGACATCGCGTTTGCCGTCCTCGCACTTCGCGATCATAGAAAACGGTGTGATGTGCGATTGTCGCGCGGGCATCATGTGATATCCGAATTAGAATGATTAAAAGCTCGCCGTTTTCCGGTGAATTGCCGGGCCTCCGGTAATAAAAGCCTCGGCCCGAACGCCGCGGATCCTCGAATAAAAAAAGGAAAAGGAGAGAGAGAGAGAGAGAGAGAGAGAGAGAGAGAGAGAGAGAGAGAGAGAGAGAGAGAGAGAGAGAGAAAGAGAGAAAAGGAGGCACAGCCGTCCTTCGATTTCGCGCTTCAAATGCACCTCGACTTTCATACCGCGGCGCATTCTCACAGCGCATTCTCGCCGAGGAAAAATAAGGAAAGGCATTTATTAATTAAAGATATTTAAGCAGCGGTCGCGCGTAAGAGCGCCCGTCAATTTGCGCTCTGAATTCCTCGAATACCCGGCAGAAATAAGCCCGGTATGTACGAGGCGATGGAAATCGACGGATTGATAGGTTCGTACTCGCTCGGCTCGGCTCGGCCCGGTAGACGCTTAAGACGCGGAAATATAAGCGCGGTGTATTCGCGCGAGAGAGAGAGAGAGAGAGAGAGAGAGAGAGTCGATCGTGCGAAATGCATCCACGTTATAGAAGTCCGCCGGAGGGAGGATAAACGCGCACGTGACGCTTCGAACGTGCGATGAAAAGTCTCAATTAAAGTCTACGACGTGGCTGGAGAAGAAGTTCTCACCTGCGTTTTATTTACTCTTTTCTTTTCGTATTCCCTCCCTCAACTCCGCTCGGATTCGACAGATCGCGAGGAATTACACGACACCTTTAACCAGAACGGTTGAGCTCGTGTCCCTCCGCGGTGAATCACGATGTAACTGCAAACGAGTCGAGTTCTTTGGTAAACGGGTCGTGTACAGTCCGATCGATTTTCGCTCGAGAACGCCGGATCGATTTTCAGCCGGAAATCGAGCGCGATACGAAATGCGCGGGATCGCGACTCGACGGGGCGCGACGTTCTCTCGAAACAGTGACGCGAACCCTCGTGGATCACCGCACGGCCAGGTAATGCTGAATCGGCGGATGAGAAGAGGTACTCTCCTCCACTTTTCCTTTTTCCCCTGCCCGCTTGCAGCTCCTCCTCTCACTTTACGTCTTAAATCGACTACGGGCTCCAGAGTGCTCGTTGTTCGCTCCTTTTCGCGACTCTATTACATCGTCGCGATGAAGATTCAATCACGATGCAGTCGTACGGCTAACGAGAGAGAGAGAGAGAGAAAGAGAGAGAGGGGGGGGGGAAAGAGAGAGAATGGAAATCTCGCTGCCGGACATCATCGCAGGATTTTTCCGGGAAAGTATGCGGACGCGCGTGGGAGCACGCTGAAAATATGAGGCCCGAAGTCACGTTCCGCGACGGAGGTGCGAAAAATCTCGAAAGTCAGCCGCGGGTGAGCGACTGCACTTACAATTAGCCGACGAATGTCTCTTCGCGTGTGTCGCGAGCTGCGGTTTATCGGTAGCGGATAATCTGACGAACAAAGTTCTGGCACGTGGAGGATGCTATTTCGCGGTGACTATGTCCGAAGGGCGACGGGGAATGTGGGCGCGAGAGCGCTGAGAAGCGCTGCAGCGTGCTCCAAATAACTCCTTGTAATATCTTTGTAACGTTAACGCCGTCACACCGCTCGTCGTTACGTCGTTTAGAGCGACGAACGAGATACCCGGATGGCCGTCTGCACATTTTTCCACGTAGATATTCCCGCTCGTCCCGTGGACTCGCCGCTAAAGTCATCCGACGCGCGGCTGGAAGGTAATCAATCGACGAGAATGCGCGACACGTGGAGCGAACCTCAGCGGGAACACAGTGTACCATGTGTTAGAGCAATTATAAGATAACTCTGTAGTCGTTACGGGTTAATTTCAAATCGTTAAAAATTCAGAGATACGTCTGCGATACACGTCATTAAATAGTATCGAAAAGAGGAGAAAGAGAGAGAGAGAGAGAGAGAGATAGAGAAAAGAGCGCGATTAAGATATTAAGTTAAAGTGAAAGATAAAATTTACTCTATGTACAGAATATTTTTATCAGGTATTATTAATAAATGATTAATTAGGGATTTTCTTCTGCCGTTACGGGCAGAGGTATGGTAAAAATTCGGAACCCGCCCGCTCTGTCGGCGCGATATTAAAGCGATACTTTTTAGGCTTAAAATGCTGCGAGCAATCGATGCGGCTTAAAATGCGTCCCCTTGCGGAAGGACGGAACGTCAGGTTTCGTGTCGAATCGAGCTCGCTACGACGATCAGTCCCATTCACATATCCATAGAAAGCGCACTCACGTCCACTGCATACTTAATGAATTCCAATTATCGACGTTCGCCGCTCATTCATAATGCGGAACGTAATTTGACGTGCGGCCGACGACTCCCGCTAAAACATTGTGCGCTGTTTGCGCTGTTTTTAACGCCCGCTCTCGAGCTCACGTGCGTCGACGGACACGTGTCCCGCCGTTATTAATCATTCTTCGCAATTTGCGCTCGTCCCGTTTTCATTCGTCGTCATTCATCCAGCCAACCCGAATACATCGAGAAACACCGTCCCCTCGCAACATAACAATTGCCTCATCAACCTCTCTCGAGCGAGTCAAGGAGAATGCGTGCGGCCGCCGGCTCGAGGAGCGATTTACTTGGACGAATTTCCAATTTTATTTTTATCAGAGCAAACCTCGTGACTCGATTATCGGTAATCGCCGCGTGGTGCGAGAATGCGAGAGTCCGCACCCTTCGTTGAAATAAATAGTTGTTCCCCACGTAGGTTCGACTTTATTTTCGGCGATGACGGCGATGTACGGCTTCAAGATTTGCCAAGAAACCGTCAATTGTGCAACAGAGCGAGCGAAGGCGATTTGCCTCTAGTTTCTCTCTCTTTCTCTCTCTCTCTCTCTCTCTCACTCTCTCTTTCTCGGTGCACAATCGTCAAACGCGATCTGTTTGTCTTGCGCGATACCGCGCTTCATTCTGTATAAACAGAGTATTACAGATCTCTCGTCGCGTCCGCGAAATAATGAATATACTGATGTCGCACGCAGTTTCGTCATCCTCGTGCCGCTCACCATGTGCAAGTATCGTTTCCACGCGCTCGAAATTAGAGCGGCGACGGGCTTCGCGCCGTCCGAGACGTCGCTGGGCCCCACGTTGGCGATCGGCAGAGTGCCCAGGGCCACCGTCAACGACATCGTCTCGAGGAATATCACGATGGTCTTGGAGAATCTGCTGATGAATTACGAAAACAGTCAGCTGCCCACGCACGGTAAAGGTGAGGAAGTGAAAGGCCGCGGGCAGGATGCTCAAAATGTCGGATATTTGTAGGTTTCGACGTCTGAGCAAATGACCGCCGCGACCGCCGCGACCGACGCGACCGACGCGGCCGACGTGTGGAAACGCTCGGCCGCGCGTCCGATATTGATATTAATTATTATAACTACTGCGAGGCCAATATATTCTCTCCGCTGCGGTCGCGCTGCAGCATCCAGAGATGATTTCATCGTTAGCCCCGTACGTCCCGTACTTACGTTAATCGCGATCGATATCATATGGCGGGAAATAATAGCGGCGGGTAATTGGATTCCAAAAGGTTCGAGGAAGATCGCGCGCGCGCGTACACACACACACACACACACGTACACACAGCGGTCTAACCGCATTAATCCGCGATCGATGGCTAAGAGCGCGAGCGACATGTCGCGTCGGCGGATCTCTCATGCCGGAGGAAAGATGTATTGTTTGTGGAAATATCGCGTGTATCTTCGAATCTATTCCGATTAATCATTCGAACGCATATATGCGCGGATCCGCGGATCGCCGGCTGTAAAACTCTTCTCTTTTTTATCACAAAGCTATATATATCCCGCGAAGTTCCTGGAACGCTGTGATATTGACGTCTCGTGAATCTCCGGCGCGGTCACTGTCGAAAAGTTTTCATGTTCGTCATTTCTTTTTTTCTTTCCTTCTCTTTTCCAGGCGTTCCCACGGTGGTGAAAACCAATATTTTAATTAGAAGTATGGGCCCGGTGTCCGAGCTCGATATGGTGAGATTCAGACATATAAATCCACTCTTCATCCTCCGCGCGGTTGCACCAAGTAGTACAGGGTGTTTCAGAATTCCTGCTGAAGGCTTGTAGAGGACCAACGGAGAGGTCTTGATAAATTGGATTCACCGACTGTCCTTGCTTCGCCGATGAATTTTCCTTGCAAAATTCCCTGCAAAAGGAGCTTCCGTGGGAGACGCGAGAGTCCCGGTTTTCCAGCGATTTCCCTTCCAAGCCGCAGCGAGCTCCTAAAAGAGAAAAAAGGTATCGGCGCTCGACTCGACGACCGCCGAAGTGCGACTCGACGGTATTCACTGACAAGGAATATCCGCGAAGTGTGTGTCTCCGATTTCGACGAAACTTGGCATATTTGTAGAATAAGTAAAAATAAGACACCCATATTTTCTTTATCGGCAATGGCTCAAGTTTAAGGAGTGAAACTGCTCCTCAAAATTTCATCCCCTTTATGCTATCTCGATAATTATTGCAAATAGGAAAAAACTTTTTAAACAAAAATTGCACAGCATAAAGAATCGTACAATTTTGGTTTAAAAAGCTTTTTCCTGTCTGCAATAATTATCGAGATAGCATAAAGGGGATGGAACTTTGAGGAGCAGTTTCATCCCTTAAATCTAAGCTATTGCCGATAAAAAATATATGGGTCTCTTATTTTTGACTACTTTGGCTACAAATATGCCAAGTTTCGTCGAAATCGGAGATACACACTTTACGGATGTTCCTTGCGAGTTACGTCAGGCGGGGGCGGAAGTACAGAGGTGACCCGCGCGTTCCAACCGCGTTCCATACGCGTGAACGCATTTACGCAACATGACTGGAACGCGGTTTCGGCTCCAGCCGTCCTCTCTCTCTCTCTCTCTCTCTCTCTCTCTCTGCATCTGTATCTGTCGCTTCCTGAAACGCCCTGTATAAGAACGATCCCGGCTGATCGTCTGAAAATTTTTCCGTCTACTTCCTCCAGGACTACTCGATGGACTGTTACTTCCGGCAATCGTGGCGTGACTCGCGCTTAAGCTTCCTGGGTCCGATCAAGTCGCTCAGTCTCAGCATCAAAATGCTCGAGAGGATCTGGCGTCCCGACACTTACTTCTACAACGGCAAGCACAGTTACGTGCACACCATCACTGTGCCGAACAAATTGCTGAGGATCTCTCAGGACGGCGATATATTGTACTCCATGAGGTTTGTTCACGCGCGCGAATTCGCGCCTGTAATGTGCCTGTGTGTAACGGAGATCGAAGCTCTTTCGGGATTTCGCCGATTCCACATATGACTCCCCCACGACGGCGAAGTCGCGCCCGCGGAACTTCTGTTTCGGCAGCTTTGCGAAATATCGCGTGGGGAAACGCGTCATCTCTCTTTCGCTCTCCGCACGGTAGACACCTGTATTCCTTCCACTCATCTTCTTTCTCTTTTTCAACGTTGTCTCGCAACGCAGGCTCACCATTAAGGCCAAGTGCCCCATGGAGCTGAGGAATTTCCCCATGGACCGACAATCTTGCCCGTTGATAATGGGAAGCTGTAAGTGTCGAACTGCCAGACGAAATGACGATACGCGGCATTTGTTTCGCATCCCGAGCAGTCGGGTTTCGCGTTACGAAATAATCAGTGTTCTCAAAGAGGAAATAAGGATTCAGGACTTAATCCTTTAATGTCTACTGGTAACTATAGTTACCAGAAACGCATTTAAGAATCCATAACTTAGTCAAAAAAGGAGATATTTTCGTTTTCTTTGCACCACTATAAAGGTGAATTCTTTTTCTAAAAAATGATATATAGATTGTATGTAAATTCGGTTTAGTCTGTTTTTAGCTCAGTTTTAATGATAATATGTTTTGTCAAATTCCAAGTAGGCATAGTTAGCATTGTTACTGACATCTAGAAGTGCACTATAAATGAATAGATTGGTATCTGTTATAATTTTATACATTTGGAAGCTTTCTCAGATGCAAAATTAAAAGAATACAGAAATTCAAAATGGCGAATCCAATATAGTGGACACGAAAATCAAGAAATCAACCTATTTTCGTGAAACCTGGTGACCTACAGTTTTTTATGCGGTGAAAAATGAAGAGACGATCTGGCTATCTAAATGGTGATCTATAAGATATTTTTCTGAAATAGTAAGCATGACGTTCTGAATGATAAACTTCACTCACAAATATAGTAAATTTCAGCTCAAAAATGTCAAGTTGACTATCAGAGTTATGTCGTATAGATTACCCTTCATTTTTCTCTGTATAGATTGCTCATTTCGTATATGCTTTTAGGATCCAAGTCGTATTTACCAATAAACAAAAAACGAACGATAAAAAAAACCAATATAAAATTCTGATATTTTTTTTGGTTATCATTACTTATAGTCTCACTTCTAAAAAAAAACTCAAATTTTATTCTTAAAACACTTATAAAAAAGTCGGGCGTTAAAGAAGGGTTAATTAAGGTCCTCAGAGTCAAGATCAATAATTATTGAATCGCTTAATCACTTGATTACTCGGGATAAGCCTTCGATTATAGAACATCGATACAATTAAACCAGATTTGAGAAACCAAATTCTGCCAAATTGCACATAAATAGTATGACCAGCGATTGAAGCGAAAATTACGTGGAAATTGCAGTAGAAGAAACTGGATGAATTGGCTGGAAAAGTCAGCGATAACGAAACGCGCTCTCTTGCGATCAACGATAAACCGCGGCTTTCATTTTACGCCGCTCGCGTTCTCGCGTTACGAGCGAGTCGGTGAGAAATCTTTTCCACTCGTTTGTTGTCCTTCCGCGGTGCATCGGATCGAGAGCCAGCGCGACGGAAATGTGCTCGTAACGAACAACCGGAAGCGCATAACACTTCATCCGATCGCGGTTCCCAGAGCACATAACGCAAGAATCCACCACCCTCTGTCCGATATTACCCTCCGACGCGCGCGTCCGCGATGTCGTCCGCGTTACGACCCTACGATCGCAATAAATTCGATATTCCGCGGCGCGTTCCGTTTCTTCCGTTTTACGTGCCGGGTCCGCAGCATGTCCTCTGTGTCAGCTGGCACCCGAGGCCTACGGTGCAACGCAATATCGGGATTTATTATCATAAACGACCGGGACCACCCTCTCTCGGGGCAGCCGATTTCAGCTAGGAGTTATCGAAAGTCGGAAGTATCGGTCGGAAGTATCGGTCGGGAGATATCCGCGGGTCAAGTATGCGATCTCCATATTCATCCGTCGTATCCGGGAAGGACTCTCGTGACCGGTTCGGCCACGGTCGCGGATCGGAACGATTAATTGTCCGTTCATTAGCAGCAACGTCGCATCGATACTATAATCTCCCTCTCAGCAACGTGAGTGTAATATGACACACGTTGGTACATAACATCGTTGTCGAGCGAGAAACTGTGACATTGATGTAACGTTACTGTTTGTCGGGATGAGACAGGAGGCATCCTTCGGATACCCGTCGGAGGCGCGAGGATCCTTCCTGCCTGAGTCCCCAAGACGAGTCCTCGCTTACGTCGCAATGGAGTTCATCGAATCTGTTGATTCGTCCGTTATTCACAACCCTCTGATCTGACGATTAATCACAATATTGCGGTATTAATGACGATGATTGTTCCGTCGCTTTGTCAGACGCGTACACATCTGGGCAGTTGGTTTACGAGTGGCAGGAAGGCTCATCGGTGAACTTCGTGCCCGGAATGGCGCTGTCGCAGTTCGACCTGATGGGCTCGCCGTACAGGAACCTCACCTTCGTGCGCCGCGAGGGCGAGTTCTCGGTGCTGCAGGTGTCCTTCAATCTGCAACGACATACAGGCTACTTCCTCATACAGGTGAGCGCACAGAATGCACGACACACGTGGCAAGCGATCGACAATTACAGGCTACATTCCGCTTCCCTCTTCACATCGTTTCACAGGTTTACGTGCCGTGCGTGCTGATAGTCGTGCTGAGCTGGGTGTCTTTTTGGATCCATCGCGAGGCGACGAGCGACCGTGTGGGTCTGGGTGAGTGTCCCCTCCCCCCTCCGGCGAATCAATTAACTTGCTCCTCTTGCGGATTTTACATCGCCGGAGCTGCTATCGCGGTCCCGTTCGATTTCCCTCTTTTCGTACTCGCTCCTTTGGAAACACTCCGAGGCCGAAAGTTGAGACGGGTGGCAGGGGAGGAAAAAGAGAATTACACGGATCGGAAGTGAGTTCGTCGCGTCTCACGTGCATGTAACCGTCGTAAATCCCGCAGGTATCACCACCGTCTTGACACTCTCGACGATAAGCCTCGATTCCCGGACGGATTTGCCGAAGGTCAGATACGCCACCGCGCTGGATTGGTTCCTCCTCATGAGCTTCGGCTACTGTATCGCCACCCTGCTGGAGTTCGCCGGTGTTCACTACTTCACGAAGGTGACGATTTCCGCGTAATCGCAGCATCTCTAGCTCCCCCTCGCGTGGGGGATCTCAAGGAAGGCGCGTGAATCTTATTTACATGATATTGTCCAGAGTTATTTGCTTCGGGAAATAACTCGCGCATCCTGAGACTCGCGAACGACGAGACACGGGCAGTTTCTCGCCTTCGTCGTTCTTACGACAAGTAGCTTTTCGTGTGACCCTCCGTCGACTCGATGCGAGCTACGCGTCGGGATACTCGAAAAAGGCCAAACCACCAGCTGGCGTTTATTCATCCTCACCTCGATCTTCGTGAATTCGCAGGTTGGCAGCGGCGAGATCCCGTTGGACGACGAGGAGTGGGAGGAATGGGAGGGCATCGGCAACGAAGAATTCGAGGACACGTTCCGCACGATGATCTCCTGCAGTCCGCAAGCCGTACACCCGGAGATCCTGGAGAGCAGCGCCAGAAGACGCGGCTCTCTCATGTGTGCGCTGTACAGCGTTAGTTCGATATGCTATCTATGCCAGGGTTGAGAAGTAACTCGTTATTTGTAACGAGGTTACAGTTACAGTTATTAATAGTCTTAAAGAATAAATATGTATTGCTTATTTTAATTAATTAATCTAATTTGTAAAAATTACATACAATATATGAGGGATATAATAATCAACAAACTACTTTCACATAAAATTGAAGGAATTTACGCAATTACAAAATTTAAAATAATAACACAGTTATTGTAAAAAAATAACTGGAAAGTAACGACTCGTTACTTTCTAAATACCTATAACTGTAACATGTTATTCTTGAAAGTCAGTAACTTGTAACTGTAACCAGTTACTTTTTCAGTGAAAAAAGCTGCAACTGTAACTAGATACTTTTACAAAGTAACTTTCTCAACCCTGATTTATACCGTCGCGTTCGAAATGAAACTGCAGCCTGAAATGTCTCTTGGACATCTGAGGACGCCAGGACGTCTCCTTGAGACGTCGTTCATCACTGAATTAGTGCGCTTTGATCTTGAAGTCAATAATTTATCGTGCATGAATCCATTGTGTGCAAGACAGAGAGAGAGAGAGAGAGAGAGAGAGAGAGAGAGAGAGAGAGAGAGAGAGAAATAGAAGACACGCGCGGCGTGTGAATTATCAAATATTAATCGCGCTTAAGCAATGTTTTCTTTTCGGTAGGATGGAGTCACATATGAACGAGATTCTTGTCGTTCCATAACAGTTGCCGTTTCCTCAAAGCCCTCGACGATGGAACGACAGACACAGACCGAGCTTATTTTGCCACTGTGGCGACAATTTCTGTACTGCTTGGCGGGCGACGATGCGTTCAGGTATCTTTACGCGTATTTATTAATATTTAAATAGATTTCCTGTATATTTTCGTCCACCGTTTATAATCTAATATTCTTTTAATTCAAAAAAGTCAATCTTATATTTATTATTTATTCTTTTTTGTTTATCTGTTATTTGTTATTTTTATCAACTAGATATCGGTCTTAATTATCTGCTCTAATAAATAATAAGTATTAAATATTGATGATAAATTTACATGTGATATTATTTCTGTATTCTGTATTTATCTATGTTATCAGTGTAAAATAAAACTATAATTAATATTTAAAATCGCAGACGCCGTCGACAACGCGAAGCAGCCAGTAGTTATCGAAAATATGGCGATCGACTGTCGAGGCACATAAACAGCGTGTCTTACATCGACAGGGTGGCTCGCATAGTCTTCCCCGCGTCTTTCGGCCTACTCAACGTCTGCTACTGGGTGGTCTACGTTACCTATCAGGAGGAATTTAAGTGGCAGGACCCGCCGATCGGATCGATCTCTCATTAACGAATTTTCCATTGTGATAATAAAGCGAACGATACAATGTGAGCCAAGAAAAATTAGAAGGCATATGTGCATATTCGTCCTTTACTTCAGACCGATTTACGCCAAATTTTGTTGAGAGTTGTGTTTCTATCTTATTGCAATAGTATATTAGATAGCTCTGTTCTCAAACTCTTCGCTGTTTCGCGATCGCGTTAGCTGTATGACGTTAAATATTTTCAAATTTAATTTCATTATTTATATACATCTATAAAATAAAATACTTTTAATTTAAACCCCAAATTTAAATTTATACATTCAAATTTTCTATTATGAAAATCGTGATTGATTTACTGAAAAAATAAAATTTTATCAGATCTATCGTTATATCGCACTATTTAAAAATTAAAACACCTTATAGTCCTGAACTCTTCCCTTCAATTATTGTGCCAAAAATTTGTGGTATAATATTTTTTATTAAACTAATTTTAGTCAAGACTCAAACCACAATTTACCAGCTTCCAAAAAATTTAGTGGAAACTATGCCAACTATTTTCTACAAACTTTTAGAAATGCATTTGATAATACTTGTCAAATTGTATAAGGTAGTGCCATTTTTTAATTTTTTTCTCTACTGAAAATGCGTGAAAATAATTGTTTTTCAGAGCCCTTATTTTCGAAAATTTGTAAAAGAAATCATCATACGACATTTCATCAATAGAATTAACAATTTAATTGGCGGAGGATCGTGATATCCTCCGAATACAAATCTAAAAGTTCGCAAAAAGCATCTGGTTTTGATTTTCATCTTCTTATAAAATTTACGAAAATTTAAACCAGGCGTTTTTTGTGAACTTTTATAATAGCAGTACTATCGAATGCAATTCTAAAAGTTAAAAAAAACGCCCGATTATTATAATGTCGCAAGAGAATGGATCGACTGTGATTGGTCAGTTTTCTTACAACCTTACGGTTACGGTTAAATTTTTTCTACGTGTGATGGCCTTAAGTTGCAAATACGTTTTGTATCGCACGCTGTGCGTGCCCAATTACGCGTAAGTTTTAATAACCGTGCGTGCAGCTTACGCACTTTTAACTTACGCGTAGATTTCAACAATTGTGCGCGCAGCGCGCGATGCAAAACGCACTTGCAACTTACGCGTAGGTTTAATTGTTCATAAAATCTTGGCGCGGCTGCATCAAAAACTATATCGAACTAAAACTTGTTTAATACATATATGACAACATTTTTATTATAATATATTCTATAATGAAGGTTTATAATTTATTTATTATAATACTATATAAACTTAAATAAAACATTATGCCGTATATGTATAAAGAGAATTTACAAGAACATTTTATTATAATAAAAATGCTGTCATATATGTATTAAATGAGTTTTAGTTATGTTATGTTAGGTTTCTCAGTTGGCGCTACTGTCCTAATATATCATTTCTTTTGTACAGTAGAAAAGCGTTGCAGAGTTTTATTATAGTTATAAGTTTTACTTGTAAAAAAACTTATGTACACATATATACAATAAAAAAATAATTTGAGTTTGATACTTCTAAAAATAACACAATACGTGTTACGCTTGTACTTGGCGCCTTTTTTTTACCTTTTTGTTTAAAAAGGTAAGTTTTATATAATATTAAATATACGTACGTTTCACGTATAACGTGATTGACTTGGAGTACTCCGTGTCCACGCGTGTTATTCATAGCGACGCATTCATACTTTCCCTGTGGTGCGAGTGGTTTCGTTATCGTTGCGCAGCTTTTCTACGGTATAGAAAAGCTGCGCAACGATAACGAAAGTGTCGTTAACTCCAATAACGAGTTAAAGAATCGCGCCGCTGATCTGTTATATCGGATTCGATAATCTGCAAGGCACCTGAAACATAAAATGTGATATTCTCGAACAGCGTTCTTCTCAGGATTTTCTTGTCCAAAGAAAGATCAATAATGCGATCGCAGATCTCGTCTATGTCGTGTCAATAGAGACAGTTTGAATTCGGCGTAATATGATTCTTGGAACAGACGTAAACAAGTATTGTGAAGTTTGAAGCGAGTCTCTCACAGGCATGCTTTGAAAACACGAGTTGTTTTCATTTTCAGCTAACGGACGACGCAGGCATCAACATTGATCGGCAAGATCAGCGACTGGTGGGGGGTAACCGTGCCTTCCCGATTGTTTGTTTTCGTACGCTTATATATGACTCCGTGATTGCGGAAAGGACATTGCGCCTCGGGCCGACGAACGACGCGCATACCGCGACGCAGAGTAATCGGTTTACGCGTTTCTTTGTCCCCGAATCTTACTTGCGCGAGTGTTAGAGCTAGAGTCAGTGTCGTCGCCAGTGCTACGATGGAGTATCCGGGGGTGCTGCGACGGAGTAACTAGAAGGAGGACGTCGGATCGAGAAGTCAGGATGCAGAGAAGACTTGGAGCGCGCCGAGAGACGTGGACAGCGATACATCATATATGGTATTCGAGGTATCTCGAGTCATTATTATTACGCAAGATATTTCTGATTTTAACGGACCTTACTCGAAGTAAGGACATACCCGAGTCGAAATTAGATCAGCATTCATAGTTTATCATCTGAAAAATGATAAAATAGTTTGATATTTGATTATTCGTTAACCTAATTTCACGTGACATGAGTTCTACTTTTCTTTTCTCATAAAATATGAATGTCTATTCAAGCAAGGTTGCTGAGTCAAGCTAAGGTTTATGAATACAAATTTTTAATTATATTCTCAATGAAAAATTGCACATAATTTAGAAAACTATGAATAATGATCTTAGAATCTGATATCAATTTTATAAGTGTTGATTTTTATTCGTCTAATAATGCTCAGATTGCTGTTTTCGTTTAGAATCTGCTAGAATGTCCGTTTCTCATTCTTGTTTATCTTTCCTATTGTACCGAATCTGAATTAAAATCTCTATTAGTGAAACAGCATTATTAGACATAACCGTTGTCTTTTTGCAGCTTCAGCTCTTTTAAGAGCTACAATTCTCATCATTCTCATTAGAAAAAAGAAAAGAAAAAAAAGAGAAGAAAAAAGAAAAAAATAACTTTAAGAATGATGAGAATTAAAAGTGTTTCTCATCTCCCCATTTCCTCTAATTCTAATATGATTATTTAATCCTTATATATTTATTTCACGCGCAGTTCTAACAAAGGCAGTTTTATTTACGTTTTTATCTTTGTTCTCTTTCTTGCGCTGTTAAGCGAATATATAATCGCCATCAACAAAAATTGCTTATTTAAATTAAAATATAAGGATTAAGTACATATACATTATCGAGATAAACGAGTATTAAATAACTGCGGAATACGTCGCTGCTGAAGACTCATCATGGGCGAGACTGCGAGAGTAGCCAGATGTAACGTTCAGGTAAGACAAAGCTTGTTCACTATTGCGCATCTAGATATTCTGCAATGATTTTTCAAATTGGATGCAATTTGCAGGATCAATGTAGAATTAATATTTCGACTCGGGAAAGACTCGGGAATGAGAACGAATTGTCATTGCACTTGGACAATCTTCTGACACTGATTTATGGTATTGATCGATATTCGATTTTCAGTACTGATTTACTCTTTCATTCCTCTACAAGAAAATAAAATTGATACGACTCGTTCATTTATCCGCTTTAATTTGATGAATACATTAAATATTGATCGGTCTTCAATTTTCGGTACTGATTTATTCTCTCATTTCTCTATAAGACAAGAAAAATTGATACAAATCAATCGTTTATTCGAGTTAATTTGTTGAGTAAATTAGAAAGATAAACACCCGAAACATGAGAACAAATTGTCATTGCACATGGACAATTTCCTGACATTGATTTACGGTATTAATCGATATTCGATTTTCGGTACTGATTTACTCTTTCATTTCTCTATAAGAAAACAGAAAATTAATACGAATCGTTCATTTATCCGCGTTAATTTGATGGAAAAATTACGTATTGATCGGTCTTCGGTTTTCGGTACTGATTTATTCTCTCATTTCTTTATAAGAAAAGAAAAATTGATACGGATCGTTCGTTTAACAGAATTAATTTGTTAAGTAAATTAAAGGGGTAAGTACCTGAAAAATAAGAACAAATTGTCATTGCACTTGGACAATTCTCTGACACTGATTTACAATATTAATCGATATTCGATTTTCGGTACTGATTTACTCTTTCATTTCTCTATAAGAAAACAGAAAATTAATACGAATCGTTCATTTATCCGCGTTAATTTGATGGAAAAATTACGTATTGATCGGTCTTCGGTTTTCGGTACTGATTTATTCTTTCATTTCTTTATAAGAAAAAAAAAATTGATACGAATCGTTCGTTTAACAGAATTAATTTGTTAAGTAAATTAAAGGGGTAAGTACCTGAAAAATAAGAACAAATTGTCATTGCACTTGGACAATTCTCTGACACTGATTTACGGTATTAATCGATATTCGATTTTCGGTACTGATTTACTCTTTCATTGCTCTACAAGAAAACAGAAAATTAATACAAATCGTTCATTTATCCGCGTTAATTTGATGGAAAAATTACGTATTGATCAGTTTTCGGTTTTCGGTACTGATTTATTCTCTCATTTCTTTATAAGAAAAGAAAAATTGATACGGATCGTTCGTTTAACAGAGTTAATTTGTTAAGTAAATTAAAGGGGTAAGTACCTGAAAAATAAGAACAAATTGTCATTGCACTTGGACAATTCTCTGACACTGATTTACGGTATTAATCGATATTCGATTTTCGGTACTGATTTACTCTTTCATTTCTCTATAAGAAAACAGAAAATTAATACGAATCGTTCATTTATCCGCGTTAATTTGATGGAAAAATTACGTATTGATCGGTCTTCGGTTTTCGGTACTGATTTATTTTGTCATTTCTTTATAAGAAAAGAAAAATTGATACGGATCGTTCGTTTAAAAGAGTTAATTTGTTAAGTAAATTAAAGGGGTAAGTACCTGAAAAATAAGAACAAATTGTCATTGCACTTGGACAATTCTCTGACACTGACTTACGGTATTAATCGATATTCCATTTTCGGTACTGATTTACTCTTTCATTTCTCTATAAGAAAACAGAAAATTAATACGAATCGTTCTTTTATCCGCGTTTGTTTTATGGAAAAATTACGTATTGATCGGTCTTCGGTTTTCGGTACTGATTTATTCTCTCATTTCTTTATAAGAAAAGAAAAATTGATACGGATCGTTCGTTTAAAATAGTTAATTTGTTAAGTAAATTAAAGGGGTAAGTACCTGAAAAATAAGAACAAATTGTCATTGCACTTGGACAATTCTCTGACACTGATTTACGGTATTAATCGATTTTCGATTTTCGGTACTGATTTACTCTTTCATTGCTCTATAAGAAAACAGAAAATTAATACGAATCGTTCATTTATCCGCTTTAATTTGATGGAAAAATTACGTATTTATAAGTCTTCGGTTTTCGGTACTGATTTATTCTCTCATTTCTTTATAAGAAAAGAAAAATTGATACGGACCGTTCGTTTAACCGAGTTAATTTGTTGAGTAAATTAAAGGGGTAAGTACCTGAAAAATGAGAACAAATTGTCATTGCACTTGGACAATTTTCTCGACATTGGTTTATGGTATTGATCAGTCTTCGGTTTTCGGTACTGATTTATTTTCTCATTTTTTTATAAGACAAAAAAAATTGATACGAATCGTTCGTTTATCCGAGTTATTTTGTTGAATAAGTTTAGACGGGTAAGTACCTGAAAAATGAGAACAAATTGTCATTGCACTTGGACAATTTCCTGACACTGATTTACGGTATTAATCGATATGCGATTTTCGGTATTAATTTACTCTTTCATTTCTCTATAAGAAAACAGAAAATTAATACGAATCGTTCATTTATCCGCGTTAATTTGATGAATAAATTAATTATTGATCGGTCTTCAATTTTCGGTACTGACTAATTCTCTAATTTCTTTATAAGAGAATAAAAATTGATACAAGTCTTTCTTTCATCCGACTTAATTTGTTGAGTAAATTAGTGGGGTAAGTACCTGCAAGATGAAAACAATTTGTCATTGCACTTGGACAATTTTCTAACACTGATTTATAATATTGATCAATATCCGGTTTTCGGTACTGATTTAGTCTTTGATTTCTCTATAAAAGAAAAAAAGATTGATATCAATTGTTTGTTTATCCACGTTAATTTGATGAATAAATTCGATAATGATCGGTATTCGATTTTCGGTACTGATTTCTCCTTTCATTTTTCTATAAGAAAAGAAAAAATTCAGACGAATTGTTCATTTATCCGCGTTAATTTGATGAAAAAATTAGATATTGAACGGTCTTCGATTTTTGGTACTGATTTATTTTCTCATTTTTTTATAAGACAAGACAAATTGATACGAATCTTTCGTTTATCTGAGTTAATTTGTTATATAAGATCAGAGGTGTATGTACTTGAAAAATAAGAACAAGTTGTCATTGCACTTGGACAATTTTCTGACACTGATTTATGGTATTAATCGATATTCGATTTTCGGTACTAATTTACTCTTTCATTTCTCTATAAGCAAACAGAAAATTAATACGAATCGTCCATTAGTCCGTGTTAATTTGATGTATAAATTATGTATAATGTATTGATCAGCCTTCGATTTTCGGTATTGATTTATTCTCTCATTTCTTTATAAGAGAAGAAAAATTGGTACGAATCGTTCGTTTAACCGAGTTAATTTGTTGTGTAAATTATAGCGGTAACTACCTGAAAAATGAGGACAAATTGTCATTGGACAATTTTCTGACACTGATTTATGGTATTAATTGGTATTCGATTTCCGATACTGATTTACTCTTTCATTTCTCTATAAGAAAAAGAAAAATTGATACGAATTGTTCATTTATCCGCGTTAATTTTTTTTTTATTATGTATAAGTAGTCCATGGGTCGATTAAATATTCGAATACATGTCGTATCAAAGTCTCCTCTATAATGAACGATTTGACATGTCTGATGACGCATGATGTATCGTTGCCCGCATTCCATTTCCTTCGTCCTGCTTCCCTGTATAAAATGTTGAATTGAAACGTATTAAAAAGTATCGACATTTTGAATATGTCTGATTTCTGAATCTTTTTGATCCGAATAAAAGGATTGAAAAGTATTAGTTTCCATTAAATTTTACTGCGCTAAATGCGAGACAGTCTCTTTCGCCCGGGTGCCTCACCAGGGAAATTCCTCTGGTACGCTAAATCCCGTAAGGCCATCAGTCTTTGTAGTATATCTCGTCGGTGCATAAGGTTTATATTACCTGTACATATATATTTTGAAACATTTTCTTTGGATATTATATCAAACGGATTTTGCGTGTCACGTAATATCCTTCGAACTACACGGACATTATATTATTTTGATCATTTTGATTTCTTTGGTATTCATTGAATTATCCAGAACGTGCTGCAACTGCCATGTTGAACGACTCAATTGTTGTGTGAAATGTTTCGATTTTCACAAATTCATATAAAATTTTTCATTTTTCACTGATTCATAGAAGTCTTTTACTTTTTATTAGTTCACGTTAGGGAAAAGATTCATAATCGCTGCCCCGAGCAGCTACAACGCTTTTCGAATCATCTATGTCGGCGCGCTTTTACTCCTCAGATTTCTGTCATTAATAACTCGATAATTATTGCGAATCTTGCAAAATAATATGGGACTTTTATGTTTGTCTCAACCCAATCTACCCTCACACTTCGGGTTGGCAGCTAATTACCGGGCACTTCGTATGATCTTCATGATATTAATCATACACAATGTCAATTCTTTTTTTTTGCACATGTTAACATGTTAATTCATGTTATAAACGCGTAACAATGTGCGAGACCGTGCTTGTCAAGTACGCTATTATGGTTGTAGTACGGACATAAACCGCCTTAAAATGGATGTAGCACGGACTGCCACTACATACAGGTTTTACCGCCGAAACCTGAATGTGGATGTAGCCTCGTAGTTCCCCTCTCAAAATGGATGCAGATGGCGCCCTTTCCCAGTGCGGAAAGTCGGTGTCGTCGAAAACATCGTGTTGGCCGCTCTCACGTTCCTCTCTGGTATCTAGTCGGTGGTCTCGGTTAATTTTATGGATGTCAGTAAATTGTGATTCGAATCTTGGTTAAAAGATTTTTAGCCGAGATTCGAATCTCAATTTACCGACTTTGCTTATAAAAATATTGACCCGTTATTTTTGATAATTTAATAAAGGGACTTAAGGTTATTCTACAATACATGTTGTAAGTTGTAAGCCGTAAGAATGACCAATTATAGCCGATTATTTTTGTAATAATCGACTGTGATTCGCCAATTTTTACGGCTTACAACTTACGACACGTATTGTAGAATGACCTTTACAGTATTCATCAGACTTGCTATTTTAACAAAGCAATAAAGGAATTAGTGGCTGGTATTCATAGTCGGATCTTATATTTAAGATTATCTTAAGTTTATCTTCAGATGCTGTACAAATTATTTCATTGGCTACGGAATATCTGAAAGCGAACTTAAGATTGTTTTAAATATAAGATTTAACTATGAATATCGGCCAAAGAGACCCGTTATTTCACTTAAACTGGGCCGTTTTCATATAATTAGGATTCAAATCGCTTTTGCGAGTTTAGCTGCGTTTCATTGGATGCATTTAATACTACATCGCTAAATCTGATTGGTACATTCTTATAGATTTGCAATATGCACCAATCAGATGCAAAAGTTCATTAAATGCTCATTGAACGGTTGTGCAGTGTGTGCCACCTTTTCTGAGTTGGCACCTCTACATGTTCAGGAAGTTGCATTCTCGTAGAACGCGTGGTCCTTTCCTTTAAAACCGTGGTGATTAGAGGTATGTATGGCTGGATTTGTCGTATTTCTCAGATCTGCTCGCATCTAAGCGTACATCCAAATACTTATCCTACGAAGGGTGATTTCTCGTATTGAGAATTTCGAACCATAACGTAGGCACCAAAATTGTTGTCGCCGTGTGAGATAAATGATTCAAAATCGGGAGCAAAATACGACACGACACAAGCCAACCGGGCTGCCGTTGTGACTGTCGCACTTGATGATTTCAAAGAGGACTCATCTGAGACAAAATATCAATCAATTTCCATGTTATTTTAGGACATAATGCCACGATATTCCCATGAACCGGTCAACGCGACCAAGTCGTGCAGAGCACGCGGTTCCAATCTCCGTGTGCATTTTAAAGTGAGTGTTTGCTACAATGAAATCTAACCTTAAGTATAACTTCGAGAGGCGACGTTTACGAATTATACTGTTATAATCTGTGTTTCTCTCGTGCATTATAGAACACTCATGAAACAGCACGAGCTATCAAAAATATGACCCTGCGAAGGGCGCAGAAATACCTGAAGAATGTCATGGAACATAAGGAATGTGTGCCCTTTCGTAGATTCAATGGTGGTGTTGGCAGGTGTGCCCAAGCTAAACAATTTGGCACAACGCAAGGTATGCCAACATATTTTTGTTTTTGTACATGCAGATGCTATTTTTCTTTTTGAATATTGCAAGTGCTGAAAGGTAAATAGCTGTTCGGTCCGATATAAAACATACCATGATGGATGAAAAAACATTTTGTTTTTCATTATCTCAGGTCGTTGGCCAAGAAAGTCTGCAGACTTTCTGCTGCAGTTGTTGAGAAATGCAGAAAGTAATGCTGATTACAGGGGACTCGAAGTAGATCGCCTTGTAATTGTTCATATCCAGGTGAATCATGCACCTTGTCTGCGTAGAAGAACATACAGAGCGCATGGTCGTATAAACCGTGAGTATATCTGGTCGATTTTCATTCCTTACAAAGACTTATTGAACAAGCAATTATTGTTTGAGTTTATGAATTTTATAGCTTATATGAGCTCACCTTGTCACGTCGAGGTGATTCTAACAGAAAAGGAAGATGTGGTCACAAAAGCTACAGAAGAAGAACCGTCGAAAAAGAAACTTAGCAAAAAGAAGCTTGCCCGACAAAAGGAGAAAATGCTGAGGGAATAATTTCGTATTTTATATGGACATGTTATATGTACGCTAAAGAAATGAAGATCAACACATGTATGCTAGTTTTATATTTCTTTATTATCTTCCTGTCCTGAGAATCAGTGTACAAAATGCGCCAGTAGTATGTTTTAATTTTGATTCTAATATTTTTGAGAATATGCATATATTGTGCGCAAACTAAAATCTTGAAAATTGATATCCAAGGAAGCACCTAACTTATTTTAGCAACATTGTGTTTTTCTGATACCTGTTGTCATTTCTAGACATTTGGTTCCAGTGGAATCTCCACAGAACGTAAAATATTTAGGCGGCATAGGTGGATGACGTACATGCATAGAGAACTCAATTATTTTGATACGAAGGTGTTATAACTATTAGATTAAAAAAAGACCAAGATTTTATACCGATCGAATTTACGATGTAAGATGAATAAAAGCAAGGAAACGCGTGGGTAATGCTGCCAAAACGTACATATCTTTACTATCGCACGCCTTATCTTTACTGTCATGTTTCTTACGTTTAAATTGTTTCGTTCGATCAATAAGCGTCAAATTGTGCAGGACGCAACAACATAAAACAATAATACTTTCCAGTGAATCCCCGATCGAGAATCGCAAAGGAAAGAATGCATACTTGCTTGTTGCTTATTTTGCGATTAATCAAACTATATAATTGCTGTGTCTAAATTCTGTAATTAATATTTGGTATATGTATAAAATTAATCTTAAGGCATCTAATCGTAGCGGTCCGTACCAAATGCGTTCACCATTTGAAACTGACACGGTAACAATTAAGCGCTAAATTCTCATCTCGTCATCGCTCAGCTAAACTTTCGCATAAAAAGATTCCGTTATCTTACAAAATACATCTTTTATGATGGGGATTCTTACGAATACATACAGCGGAGATTCTAATGTTCTACTGTGCATATTCTTGCGTCTTCAAATTTCACTTTGCAACGCTATAACTCGCAGCGATACTCAGGATCGATCTACAAAATTCGACAACGCTTGTACTCGACAAAAATACATATACATATATATGTATATGATCGTAGACTGCTGTTGTCGACCGGGATCGACTTTCGCTAGGGTCAGGAAAGCGGCTCGCGCGTTGTGTTCGGTAGAAACAAACATAGCAAGCCTCCACCTATAAAAAAAACGCACATTACAATATACGTTGAAACGCGAAGAAACCAACTGATCGATGAGATGACTAATTGACTAATTGATAGATGAGACTTGAACGAAAAAGAGAGACGGAGAGGCAAGAAAAAAAGAATACAAGGAAAAGATGTCAGCCACGCTTACCAATGAGGAGAGCAGCGACTATGAAAGTCGGCGCCGGACAGTACATGTCTAGAAGCTGCGCTATGACGATGTTACCGATTATCCCGCCGAGACGAGCGGCTACCATCGAAATGGCGATGCCTGTTGCGCGCAGTTGCGTCGGAAAAACCTCGGTGATGAGACAATCGAGCGCCGCGTTGCCGCAGCTTATCGCACCGCTGAAGACTGCCGATACGATCAGATTTTGATACTTGTTGTACACGAAGTATAAGCCGACCGAGCACAATCCCGATGAGAACGTGCTGAACACTGCAAAGAATAAGACACGAATGTGCTGAACATACGATTGCAAAAGACGAAAAAAAAGAAGAAGAAGAACGTAGGACGGTTGCAGTCTGGATAAAGGAATGAAAGGAGAGATGCGCCACGAGAGATACAGGATCCTCTGTCTGTACGCTTTAGTCGCGGCAATTTCTGTCTCTACTGGCCCTTCCCCGGCTGAAATAAGCACCTAGGAAAAATTTACGCCCGAGACGGTCCATCCCCAGGACAGCGATGATATTGGCGGGTATGGCGGACGCCACCGTGATAAGGGACTCCATGAAAACGGACGCTCCGATCTTGTTGGAGCAAACGTTCTCGACGCTGTGCGAGCCTTTGTTAACGACGTAATCGGTGACCTGGCATATCGAAGCCACCACGCCCGGTTGGTCGCGATGATATTCGTCGAAACGATTGAAGAGTTCCGGGAACCACATCATCAGGCCGTAGTAACCGATGTGGAAGGTGAAATTGATAACGATCGAGATTATCGTGAAGCGGAGAATCGGCGATACAAATAGCTGCCGACTGTTCTCCACGATGTCGCCCAGCATGGTCTTGCATTTGCCCTTCTCTTCGACTTCGGCCTTCGCCGGGCTCGACTCTTGAAAGTCATCGATAATCAGTTCTTTCACCTGCGCGACAAATCACGCGTCACAGATATTTCGTAGCGTGCAATTTCTCGAGGATCGGCCGCCTCGCTATAGTACATGACAATAACAGCCGATTAACGAGTATCGATTGTGCGCGGGATCGGATTACCGTGTAAGTGTCACTCGGCTTGCCGGTGTTGTAGACGTATATCTTGCGAAAGATCTCGAGCGCCTCCTCGTACTTGCCGGAGGACAAGAGGTACTTGGGAGATTCTGGTAATAGCAGAAGCAGCCCCGTCACAACGAACGACGGAACAGCGCAGATCAGCAGGAAGATTCGCCAAGAGTTGTAGGTGAACGACGAGCTCGTGACACCCATCTCGTTAGGGATGATCAACCACGCGAGGCCTGCGAGGAAGCAAGGAAATGAGCGTAAAACGCGAACGTTCCGCGGCCGAGCGAGCGTATCTCGTTATAAGACGAGAGGGAGACTCACTTACCGGCCACGAAGAGGTTTCCCAGTGTCCAGAATGCCGCCATGAAGGACAGCATGGAGCCGCGTTTGGATTTCGGCTGGAACTCGGCAAAGTACGACCAGATGACCGGTCCGCTACCTCCTAGCCTGGAACGTTACTAAATCATTCAACCCCTTTCGTTGTGCATGTCCGTTATGTATGTGCGTGCGTGTGCGTACGTACGTGTGTGTACGTGTGAGCGCGTGTGTATGTGTGACATAAGAGAATCGTGTACTTACGCCGCACCGTTCAGAAAGCGGAAAAACATGAAGAGTTCGTACGTCTGGCTGAAACTAGAGGCGACGATGCACAGAGCGTTCATGAACGAGATAGCGATCAGGACTTTTCGACGGCCGACCGCGTCCGCCACGGATCCCCAAGCGTACGCGCCGGCCATCATCCCGATGAAGATGATCGAGTTGAGCCATCCCTTTGCTTGGGTGTTGAGCTTCAGGTCACATTGCGCACTCGGCAGGATGAAGGACATAGAGATCACGTCCATCTCCTCGCTGGTGCTGACGAAGCCGCACACCGCGAGCAGGAAGTAATGGAACTTGCCATATTCTGCGAAGAAACGAATCAACGAAAGTGCGAAACGCCTCGAGAGAAACGCCAAGAAGAAAGAAGAGAGAAAAACGAGGCAAAGCGCCGTGAGTTGAGGGTCGCTCGGGACGAGAACGCTCGCGCAGAACTCACCGCTAAGCTCGATGGCCTTCTCGAAATCGGCTTTGTCGTACGATCCCTTCTCTGGATCGAGAGTCTTGCCCCTTAATCCGATACCTGGACAGAAGAACATTTGCCGATCGATATCACGTGATTCGGTTCATTACGCGCGCGAGATAACGATTTTTGTCTCGCGCTTTGTTTTTCGTAACTTCTACCTACGGGCGAGTTCGAGGTCCTTGGAACCGCAACCGTTTAGCCGCTCGTCTTTTACATCACACTCTGCAACGCGAAAATGGACCATGAGCACACACGAGACCGAGGCGACCGGCAATCGTGACTTGTATACGTACTTTGATCGCGCTTTGTTTTGGGTTCACCTTCTACCATTCTACGATGTCGGCGCGTGTAGGTGAAGCTGCCTTGGTTGAAGAAGTCAGATATCGAGCCTATGTGTCCTACAGGAAATCTCGTCGAGTGTCAGGCAGTCGGTGCAGCTGCTGTCGATCGATAGGTCCGGCTGAAGTCTTTCTGCACTGATCTGTTGCTGCTGCTCGTCGGCGGGGTTGGATCCTGCGTTCACTCGTGAACTGAAACAGATGGAGCGAAAATTACAGTTATCCGTTTTGTAGTTCGAATTAAGAAAACAGAAGGAGGAAATAGAGAAAGAAAGGAAGACAACCTCTCGACTTGTGTTGAGTCAACCATGTTATTATCGATTTATCTTCATTTATTTATCTTTACCGAACACACCGTTATACCATGCAACGACCCATCCGTGATAGAGCCTGGAGAAACGCGGACGAAATCATACAAATTTATCTAGCAACGAGAGTCGAGTCTCTATGCGATGCAATATTCCTTAAGTACTGGTAGTTGGTTCGACACATACTGGGTCATAAACACAGCTTAAACCTACATATTTTCCACTGGTAGATTGTGTAAATTCACCAAACGCAGTCGCGTGCATCGGCGCAAATTTCAGCGACATAAGCTCGTAGGACCGATAACGCTACTATTATAAGACAGCGAAAACATCGCGTTGTTAGTCTCATTACAAACATCTATAGCTCTTGTAAACTGTGACTTAGAGTAAATTTCCGATACCTCATCGACGCGGTGCCTTCGTCCGTAGGGGGTACCTCCCCGACTCATCTTCCTCGCTATTGTTCTCGCGACTATATTCTCGAATTTACCGCCTCGCGTGTGCGAGTGTACGTGTAAATTGCGCATTTAGCGCGACATATCCCCGATAGAGCGAGGATATTACACAAAACTACCGCGTTTACCTCGAGAGAACGTGAGTGTCTGTGCCACGCGAGAGAAATAAAGGAAGAGGAATAGATACGTCGAAGCACAAATCCGGCATTATAAGTCGCATTATTTTGCATAATTTAAACTTCTTACTCACCATAGCCATCGTATAATATACATTATGAGCAACATTCGCGATTATCGTCATCTTTGAAGCGGGTGTCGGGTGTCCTTGATACACGGCGCACAAGAAGGAAACAAGAGGAGAGGAACATCGAACGCGTTTTAGCTATGTTGATACGCTGTTTCGCCGATCGTTTTAATTATTACTAGTTCCCACAATTCTATTATGAAACGACTCTATAGAATTTGCCCGTACGTAACTGCCTTCTCGTGTACTAAATCGCGCTCGATGCACCGTTATCGCTAGCACTGTTCACATTAGTTGTAAACGAAATAATCACAATTCTGGACGAAATGTAAACCTTGAGTGAATTATCGTCGCAGGCTGCAGGCGCATAAAGCTTGCGTCAACAATAAAAACGTGACTGCTGGCAATGCGATATCAAAACGTTCACATTCGAAGATAGGCATGAAATCGAAGGAGGAACGTAACATTATTTCGTCCGAGAAATATCTCAAGAAAATATCTCAAAATCTCGACTAACGTCGGCAGGGTGATAATAAATAACGTGAACGAATTAATTATTCATCGTTTCGAACGTCATCCGGAGTAAAGTCGCATTGTGTACGGAGCATAATGCGTCCAATTCGAGAAGGAAAAAAAATTAAAAGTTCGACCGTGACAGGACTCGAACCTGCAATCTTCGGATCCGAAGTCCGACGCCTTATCCGTTAGGCCACACGGTCGGTGGAGGGTAGTTTGCGAGAACAGTATTTCACCACTCCAGAAGCGTGTTCACCCTGTTTCGTTATCGATTGAGCTCGATTTAATAATAATCAACACCGTAGCATTTTTCGGCCATCGCAAATCATAGATAACAAATGCCTGTGCGTTTTAGTACAAGTAGTACTCATAAATTGCGCGATATGCATATAACATGTGATAAGCGTAGTGTGATAATGAGATGTAATTTTTAATTATTTATCATCAAGTACTCGTCATCATTTATATATTGCTATTATTATTATATACTCGCATATATTAGTGTATTAATAGCTACAATTATATACGTGCATATAGATATTTTAATATCATATATATATATATATATATATATATAATCGTAATAATAAATAATCATGATGACAAAGTCATCATAGTAGTATTTCTAACGAGCGGAGAGCAAGAGACCGCGGAGAGAACTTGAGGAGCTTGACCGGCAATTTAATATCGCTGATCCTGGCAGCTCAACGATATAATTGGGGGAGGGGGCGTTTCGCGGTTTAATGCGATTCTACAAAACGACACGACATCCTGTACCAAATACTCGCTAATGAGCGAATATCACGCGCGTCCCTTCTGGTGGCGTCTCTCTTTCTCCCTCACTCTCTTTCCCTCTCTTTTCCTCTCTCTATCTTTCTATCTTTTTCTACCTCTCCTTCTCTAGCCACGACAGCCAGAATTGGTCGATTCTTTACGATTAAAGTGGACCGATGAGGAACCAGATCTGGCCGTCAGGCCATGTTCGAGACAAGTCGCTCAAAAATATTTGCGCAACAATAAAATTATCCAGAAAAACGGAAAATTCCCGGGACGATCTTTTTAATGATCGTAGGTAAACTAAACGAACGAGAAAATGGATGTATAACTATTATCGAGAACAACAACGTAACATAACGTGGCAACATGGTCGGGATACATAATTTACATTCGACCGCAAAAACATGCATATATCATATGTATAATTACGAATGATTGCGACGTTAGGAAAACGAAATAGAAAAATGAAATAGGCATACGAAGAATATCGGAAATAAATTTAAATAAAAATTTAAATAAACTTTAAATAAAATTAAAAAAGTGTTCCGTGCTTGCAACCGATTCAAACAAATTTCTACGAAATACAATTCCGTCAAATATCACTTGCGACAATTCGACAATTGCATAAACACTAATTTACTTTCAACGTATCATTAATACGTCGTATCACAAAATACGCATTTAGCATACTTTTAATAAATCGGTTGCTGCGGAGCAGAGCGGATCAAGAATATCGACGGACGAGAATATTGAGGCGCAGACGAGAAGGCGCGCGTCCGGTGGCAAGAGAGAGATATTCCATTCGGAAGATTGTGTCACGTTGAAAAGACGATGCTAATGATACGTGCGAAAGGAGGCGCGAGGTCGAGTCGTTTTTCAGCCGCTCGGATCGTCACGCTCGTCGAGAGGATCGCGTCGGAACATGAGGCTCGGCTCGTAATTAACGTCAGTCCAAATCGCAGATGTTACAATCGGCGACAACACCGACACGCCAAGATAGAGCAAAAGAGAGCAAGATAGAAAAAAGCTAGCACAGAGCGTTCACGCCATTTGTGCGTCCGTTAGATAAATAAAAGCCGGCACGGTGTATATACCGACGAATTTACACCGCGACGCGTTGGAAACGCATTAGAACTATCGCCGCCATACTCGCTCTCGACTTACTTGGATATGGCGTTTCTCATTTGAGTCCTGCGAGAGCGTATCCGAGTTGAGACGTCTTTCTTCCGCGCGAAGGATATCTCCAATATGACGCTCCGAATCGCGCTGCGCTTGATGTTTCTCTCTCTCTCTCTCTCACGGCGCGAGCGTGAAGAAGCCCACGAAGAATGGATTTCACGAGTGCGAACACGCAGTAGACAACAGAGCTGCGGGTGACGATCGGCGCGCGACGTCCTTTACGATCACGGAACGCGAAAACTCTGCGAGAGGACGAATCGAAGGCGAGCCCGGAAGAAATTCAACGGTCGCTTCAGTACAATCAGGACTTCAAGACAATCTCCCGCTGTATCTTTCACTCGAGGAGCGCTACCCGCGGACTTGTCCTATGACCGACATTCGCGAGACATCCCGTTGTCCTTCGTCCCAGGGCACCTTCGTGCGAGTCGATCTTGCGAATGGAGTTTTGGACGGCGAGCGCGAGACGCTCCAGGTCTCCGATGTGTGATCGAGCGCCGGGCGAATGCGACAACATGGACACAAGGGCTCTCGACGGTGGTTGACGGAGGACCCACGACGAATTACCCTCGGTAAAAGCGTACCCCCTCGTGCCGGCTCGCGGTCGTGAGAAGCGCAGGATCGGGATCTCGCTCCCTGGCTTCTCGTGCGCGTCTTCTCAGCCCAGCCGTGTGGAGCGCGACTCGCAAGTTGGCATTTAATGGCGCTTGGAGCCGCGGTAGTCCGTGCTTGCGGATGAAATGAGTGTCCGAGCGTTGAAACGCTAAAAGAGAGCTACTACCTGCTACCTCCCACTGATATGGACTAATATACTTGGCCGCCGGCGGTGGCCGTCGTTCACACGTACGTTCCCGAGCGTGTCCAGAGTGTGGAGGGGGCGAGTAGTGCTGGTACTACGCGCAAGGACAAGCGTATCCTTGCAGAAGAGGTCCTCGAATTGGCCGGGCGGAACGCTCGCGAAGAGGCAGGCGCGTCTCCACGCGGCCCGTTGACGAAAGATCGAAGATCGAAGACGACGGAGCGATCGGGGATAGCGCGCCGGCCGAGCCGAGGCCGAGGAATCACGAGACATCGATCGATCAAACGAGAGATCTACGCTGGACGACGTGGCATTCAACGCGATCGAGAATGTCGCACGTACGGTGTCGCTCGAGGGGCAAACCGCGAGACCAAATGTAAAGCGCGTCGCGACTGGAGCAAGGACCTCGCCGTGACTGGAGCAAGGATCGTTTCTCAAGATCGCGAGATCGAAGGCCGCTGTAAAAATACCGGATGCATCGCGGTCTGCCGAGCGGCGAGACACGCCGCGCGAGACTCTCGCGAGTGTGCGACGTGAGAGACATCGAGAGAAAACGAGGTAGATGCGCGATCGACACATCGTGCGCGCGTCATCAATCGAATGAATTATCGCCGGGAGCGCGCGTGGTCCAACCCTCGAGACCCTCGGAGACGCGCAGCTCACGCATTATTGCTGCGGCGATATCGAGATCTTCGGAGGCGGTTTCAACCGGTTACGCAAACGTCCGCGTCGTAGATGAAATCGCGACGGCGGTTTCAACCGGTTACGGAATTGAAGCATCGTCTGCATCATCACCCTGACGGACGAGTCGCATGACGCGCTGCATGATCCTTTGGAGTTGCGACTTTGTTTGCCGGACCGTTTCAGATCCCCCTGCTAAACGGCCGCTTCAAACTCACCCGGAGCCTCTTACCGCCCGCCCGCGCGATATTAGCTTTGTCTTCTGTTGCTGAACTGGCTGCACTAACTTGCACTTGTTTTCTTCTTCTCTCCCTTTTACTAACTCCTAGATGTACATCTATTTCTTTTTATGTTCCCTGAGTGTACACTAGTTCAATTCGATAAAAAACAGACCTATTCGTGTCCGACCGAGTGCAAGTCACCGCGTAGCTTCGCGGAGGCTGACAAGCAGACACAACGACGCACACTGTCAATATTTTCGTCCCGTCCGGCCAATTGCCGTCTTATCACTTATTATCGAATCCGCCAGTTTAACGAACGGCTTCATTGGCAAAAGCGTGTTCACCGTAGTGTGTATTATTAGTCCCGCTGTACCTTGGCCGATCGTATATTTTCCGAGGTTTAGTGCAAACTGTGTGCGCGCGCGCGCGCGATGGTTCCTTCTGAGAAAACTCTGAGTGACTGACGTGAATGTTAAGCTCGACAAACTTGGAAAATCGGCACACATATTTTGGCATACATATATATATATATATATATATATTTATGTTACAATGAAAATGATGCTTTTATATCATATCATGGAGCGAGAGAGGTATTCGAAGGCGCATGACGCTCTCTGATTAGTCAACGACTAATCGTCTTCCACGTCACTCATGCGATTAGATTTGTGTATCAAAATTGCCTGTAATAAACTGTAATGAACGCAAGCCGCAGAAACGGAGTTCCCGTGGAGGCTATAATTTTGTGAGAGAGATGAAGCGATGTTTAACGAGCGATTAAAATTGCAATGACGAATTATCGCGAAGAGAAATGGAGCTATCTGATAAGGCCATTCTCTCTCTAACCCAGCAGAAGCTCAAGTCACCTGAAGGTGACGCTTAATCGGCCGGATCGTTGTGTGATCGCAAGTACGCGTGTCGCGTCTCGCGTGAAAGAGATACTAAAATGAATATCGACTTGCCTGTGAGGTGACGATGAGGGATGCGACTTACAGAGAGAGCGCGAGAGTTGCCAAGCTTGGTGAAGTCGCCCGAATTGGGGAACTACCAATGCGAAGCGCGAAATCAGAAAGCTTATATAGGACGATACAAAGGCACATCGGGATCCCCCACCCTGACGCGCGACGGAGTGCACAGTAGAGTGCTTTTTTTTTACCAGTGCTACGTGTTGCGACGGAAACGAGGAAAAAGAGCAGACAGAATGTGTGCACGAGTCGGGTGTTATGAATGCTCGATACTGCTGAACAAGGAGCTGCCGTCGTTGGCGCCGTCGCCCGCGAATCGCGCGACGACGACGCGAGCGGTGCAAGAGAGGGTGTCGTGAATTTGTTCTCAAAGAAACACCGGCTCCGGACGAGCGACGGTCGACAGCTCCGACGAATGTCATCGTCGTCGCACCTGTCGCGAAACCTGTCGTTCAAACGGCGCTATTTGCTCGGCGGTTGTCGAGAGAACGCGCATCGCGCGTTCCGCGCGCGCGGTATCTTCGCGAAGATATCCGTACGTGACGCGCGCCGCGCACCGTTAACGTTTCGTTTAATTTCGTGTTTCCAGTGGTTTCAGCCCGTTGCGCAATATTTCTCACGGGACGAGAGATCTCACTGCTCGCCGCTCTCTCGCGGGACAGACACGCGTCTCTGCCGCACGCGCGATGCGTAACACGCAGGTGTCAACGCGACGATCGTCGCGTGTTTCTCCGACATCGAGTCGTCGACGCGGGCGCGGTGATAAATGAACTCTCGAGAGAAATTAACATCCTCGATCGATCGTCGTCGTTGTAATGTCTCATCGTTGCAAATCATCGCTCGCAGTCGCGGCGAGAGTTCGATCCGGATAAAGCCTCGCGTGTCCCCGCGCAGGCTTGCAAAATCGCGCTGATCACTCCGCGCCCGCGCCCGCGTTGCGCTACCTTGCGCACCGCTTTCACCACGTGCGGCTCACATTCGCGCTCGAATTGCAGACATGGAACATCGCGAATTTGCGAAAGAGCCGCGGCGTCGGTGATCGGCGCCGCGGCCGGGACGCGTCTCCCCCTCCTCCTCCTCCTGCGACACTTTGAAGTTACGCGAAGCGCGGGGACAATAAGAGAGAAAAAAGATGTGCACACACATCGCGACTGATTTATACGGTGAATTAGAGATCGCAGAGATGCGAGCTCGCGGATGAAAATATGGAGTCGTTAATTGCGCCGCAGCGACGTGATTAATCACCGGCATTCGCCGCCGACTTTAAAGAGAGACGCCTGTTGACACGCGACGGTTTCGTGGCAAAAGGAAACGCGATAACTGCTCCCGAGGTTTGTTTGTCGTGGATCTTACCGGGGGCCTAATGGACGCCAAACCGCGACAGAGCAACTCGGCTACTCGAGTTACTCTCCGCGCGCACGCGTTACCGTGAATCATCGCCGCCTCGTAATTGTAATCGCATCACGGAGGTCTCTCTCGCGGAGATCGC